ATAGTTTCTTTCCACTTTTCATTCTTTGGGATTTTATTAACTTTATTAACAGTTCTCTTCTCTCTAAATTTTCTCTACTGATTTGAGAGAGAGAGAGATTTGTTGTTTCATGCATTTATGCATTCATTGGTTGATTCTTGTATGTGTCCTAACTGGGACTGAACCCACAACTTTGGCATATTGGGGCAATGCTCTAACCCTGTGGTCGGCAAACTACAGCTTGCGAGCCACATGCGGCTCTTTGGACCCTTGGGTGTGGCTCTTCCACAAAATACCACGGCTTGTGCGAGTCTATTTTGAAGAAGTGACATTAGAAGAAGTTTAAGTTTAGAAAATTTGACCCTCAAAAGAAATTTCATTCGTTGTACTGTTGATATTTGGTTCTGTTGACTAATGAGTTTTCTAACCACTGCTCTAACCATTGGAGATACTGGTCCAGGGCCACACCTTGACTTTTTTTTTTCCTTAACTTTCTGATATGCTCTATTGCAACATGCTACTTCATTTGTTCATTAGGCAGAGTACATTTTTCTTCCTATGTCTATTAACTTCTTGCGCTAGCAATCTTTAAGTATGTGGAGTTGGGAGATAGAAGGAAAGACAAACTTATTGAACTGTTAGCAGCCAAATCTCCTCTGTAAAGGGATAAATTTTTGAGATTTAAGTGAGCTAGATTTCTAGTATTTCTCCTACTAAAAGGAAGGTTTATAATGATGGCTGACATCCAGTTGTTGCTTTCTGTAGTCAATGTTTATGTAGAATTATCCTCATTTCTATCGCTCTCTTTGCTCACATTGCTTTTTAGTCCTTTGCTATCAGATCCTATTTCTTCTTGAAGTACATCTTTTTGAAATTCCTTTTGGACAGTTCTGTTGGTAGTAAACACTCAGTTTTGTTTTCTTGAGAGTCTTTATTTAACCTTTAGTTTTAAATAAGATTTTAGCTAAGTTGAGGAGTCTATAATGACAGTTTTTTTCCCTCTTGTCATTTTTAATATATTATGTATTCACTTCCTAAAGTTGGTACCAAGATGCCATCTTTTTCATTTTCCTAATCTTAAAAGAAAACTTTCAACATTTCACTGTTTTTTTATGATGTTTGCTGAAGATTTTCATAAATGTCCATTAATCATGAAGACATTTTCTTCAATGGCCCATTTACTGAGATTTTTTTTTAAATGAATGTTTTAATGGATGTTGAATTGCATCTCATGCTTTGTACTCATAGACATCAAAATCATAGGTTTCAAAGTTAATGATGTGCTTGATTACACTAATCAAATCTCTAGTGTTGCAGTAACCTTGTATTCCAAGGAAAAAGCCACTTTGGTCATGGCACATGGCATTTTTTATGCATTGCTGGACTCAGTATGTTAACATTTGTTTAACATATTTAAATTTAAGTTAGTAATGAAGTAGATCACTATTTTAACTTTCTTTTACAATCCCTTCTGGCTTGGATATCATAAAGTGTGTTCAGAAGTATTTTTTTTTTCTCTAGAGAGTTTATGTAAATTGAGAATTTAAGTTTCTTGCAAGATTGTTAGTCTTTGGACCAGATGTATTCTTTGTGAGATTTTTCACAATCAGTTTTAACTATCATATGGTTACAAAACAGTTCAGCTTTTTCTATAGATTCTTGGGACCATTTTAGTAAGTTTTTTTTTTTTTTTTTTAAAAACCCCATTCTTTCATTTTATGTAAGTTGTCAAGTTTATTGTCATGAACCTCTTAATCATCCTATTTCTGTTTAAACTTTACATTGTCTGTTATTATGACTTCATTTTTTATTACTAATAGTGTTTATTTTGCTAATTTCTCTTTTCTTGCTAATTTTCAATTTTATTTAGTATTTATAAAGAATAGATTTCAGCTTTTTATTATTCCTTTTGAGCCTTTTGTTTTTTTGATTTTTAAGAATAGCTCTTTCTCTTTCTTCTTCTCTTCCATTTTTAATGATACTAAGGTGTTCTGTAACGGAAAACACTGTTTTTGAAAATACTGTCCTATACTGAATTACACTTTCAATCAAAAGTTTAAGTTATTGAAGCTGTATTTTGGAAGATAATTTGGGGAAGAATGAGGAGTTACATGTTTAAGATTTAATTGTTTCTTTCACGTATAGGCACTTACGTGTTTTATTTTAACATAAATTTCAGACCGCCTTAATGGAACTATTTGCTATAAAGAAAGACATAGGTATAGGTTATCCTTGAAGATAAATTTTATGGTATTTCTATATGAGCAATTAATCTTCCATTTAAATTATTTGTTTCAAAACATTATTTTCATGTAAACATTTAAAAAGCCTACTTGAGATAAACCTCCAGATTCATACTATGTGCTTTTCATGGTCTTTTCCTGTTATGGAAGAATAAAAAAGGGATACTGCATTATTTTTTATTAGTTTGCTAGGAAATGCTGAGTTGTACATTTCTGTTCTGGATTCCTACACAAAGCATTTTAAGTTTGAAAGTTCTTTTCTTAATTGACATATTAAGTGGTCCCAACAATTAACTTGGAGAAAAAAAATCCAACTCTGACTGTGTAACCTATGGTGACTGTTTGGTTCTAACACAGTAGCCCACCCTGCCCCTCATCATCTTAAGAAAGGGCTCGAGATTACAAAGCTCTAATAGCACCCGTCCGAGATATTCCACTTAGGGCAAAAAACGGATTTCTTCAACATTTTCTTGCTTTACTTTAGACAGTTTGGTTTGACATTTTGAATAGGAGTTATTTTTAAAAAGGAGGCTGTGACTTACTTACCAGGAGACCCCAAGGCCTGCGGAACATAAAGGGGAAGGAGAGCCCCTCTTTGAGGGATTTATGCTCCAGGACTTGCTTATCTTGAAAAGCTGCCAAGTTTGCTTTTATGCTCTCAGTGCCTCAAGTGGAAATCAATTAAAGTACCTGCTGTTTTGAATAGTAGATAATGGTGGAAGGTCAGAATTCAGACCACCAACAGTGTTCAACAGGCAAGTCTTATCCTAAAACTACAGAACGGAAGACTGGCTTTTTAATTCAGTGTGCACTGGTTAACTAACGAATGGACTGAAATAATTCATGTTTTCACACAACTAAGCTTTATTGAATAGAAGCAGAGCAACACTCTTCCTTGGCAGAAAACTCAACAGTTGACCCCATGATTATAAAACATCCTTAACAGAAAGGTCTCAGAAGGAAAAAATCCCCAAAAAACAAAAACACTTCTAGGAACTAAAATTCTCAGATTAGAGATCTGTTAATTCAGATAGAAATGTGTCCACAAAAGTACATCAAACAAATAACCTATTTTTTTTATTTTCAAGAGTCTAACATATTGTACAGATTTGATTTAGGGATTTTTAAAAAGAGTTGCTGGATGAATTTTTTTGATGAATGATATGTACAAATAAAAGCAAACAAAATATACTTGTGTAAAATATTTTGAAGCAAAATTTTTAAGACCTTACAAACATGTCAGAAATTGGAATATTTAAATAAAGAAATAATGGGAAAATAATATTTTGGGGTTTGTGGACAAATCCATTGTTAGAGTTGTAACAGGTTAAATATATCTTTCCCAGATTTGGGTCATAAATTAATTTGAATTCTGCCATGTTGTTTTTGTTTGTTTGTTTTTGTGTTAATCCTTAACCGAGGATAGTTTTCCATTGACTTTTAGAGAGAGAGTGGAAGACAGAGGAACATCAATATGAGAGAGACACATCGATTGGTTGCCTCCTGCACGTTCTGACCAGGGCCCAGGATTAAGCCTGCCACCCAGCTACAAGCCCTTGACCAGAATCGATCCTGCAACCCTTCAGACCTTGGACTCACGCTCTTTCCACTGAGCAAACCGGCTAGAGCTGCCGTAGTTTTCAGGCTGTTTTGAGCATCACCATCAGAGTAAACCTCCTAAAATAAAATAGCCTTTTTCTCTTAACCTGCTGGTCAACTGCTAAGTGGCTTCTTTTTCTCTCCAGACATGGAGTCAGTCCCTTGTCCTTCCTGGCAAGATCTGGTTCTTACGTCTTTCAAATCTTGTCCACGCTCCCTCCCACTGTGTGCCTCCTCCATCAAACTGACCTCCTCACCTGAGTGACCCTGTCTTTCACAATTGTCGCTTACCTTTTTCTCTGTCTTTAGTGACTTGCTCGCTTCCACCCTCTTCTCCAAATATCTGGACAGATAGCAACATAATCATATTCACTATAAGTTGCTTTCATCACCTTTAAACATTCCTCAGGGATTTCATATTTAACATACTTATGCCTAAAAAACTTCAGCCATCTTAAAGAAATAGCACATGGCAGTTGCGCCTGATATTGCCTGTCTCTGGGGCGGCCACAGTTACAGCTGTGGCTTCGGTTTCTGACTGAGCTTCCGCTTGCATTTCCTCAGCATGCTCTTCTTCATTGTCCCTGTCTCTGCTGCTTTTTCTCAGTCATTATTATTATTATTATTATTTAATTCCTTTCAACTTCTCCCTAGAAAAAGTTCATTGTATCCTGGAGATCTAGAACTCATTCCTCCTGAGGTAAAATGACTGGTAATTTATGGAAGTACACCCACTGAGTGCTCTGTATTGTGTCAGGGCGAAGAGTGTACAATGAAATCATGACACTGGCAGTGGCATTTAAGTGTAAAGCAGAGGTGACTACAAGTGTTAGGATAGGAGGCATTTTAATTCCCCAAACCTGGTTCGTGTAACGGTATCAATAATGATTTCTAGCGTACCCTTTTCTGTTGTAGCTACTTAATGTCGCATGATCTCCTGTGTTTTATTAAAAGAAATGTAAACATACTGAAATATATCGAACAGATTTTCTGTTTTTATGTATCAATCTTCTCATCACTATAAATAAGCCTTATGCTATTTTAGTCGTAAGTTCAATATTAAAGCATATTTTTTCAAATAACTTCTGTTCTATTGAAATAGTTTTTCTCAAAAATGATTGATTTAACCTCAAAAATATGATACTGTTCCCTTATCAGTTATTATGCCCTTGTTTTCAGCATGTTATCTGCACAGGGTTGTGGTGCAAGGTGGAAGGTGAGAAAGAATGCAGAACCAAGCTGGACCCCCCGATGGATGGAACTGACTGTGACACGGGGAAGGTAAGTCACTGGTGTTGTCTGGAGTTAATTAGAATATGATTTCCTCCTGCCAGTTACATGTGTGTCCATCTTAACACTAGTGAAATATTTTCAGTATATATAAAAATGTTAGCATTTCATCTATTTTCCTCTTTAACTTTTCATATTTTTTACATCTATGGTTATTTTGTTAATATCAGTGCAATTATTTTTATTATTGTTGATTATGAGAATGTTGAGAGTCAGATAGATTTATGTATAGCCTTGCCAAAAAGAAGAATTCATTTTTTTTTTTACTATTTATAGCAATAGTAAGAAATAACAATCATAAATAATAGCATACATAATAATGCTTCTCAGAACTGATGAATACTTTTGGGTCTAAAATATTGTCTTAGAAGAGGCACTGAATATAATTTTTCCTTGTCATTTCAAGCATCATAAATAAAATACTCTATTTGACATTTTGGAGATTAGTAAACATTTGACTGTATAAGTTGTTTAACCTAATATGTTTTATAAGACTATAGAAATTTATTAGTATATATTTCCAAATCAAAATAATTGTTGAAAATTTAATTTTCTTTTAAATAAACTGAAGGAGGTAGATCCCACATAAATGAATAAATATGGTAAATTTAGTCAAAAGATAGTTTAATAGTGGACCTAGTTTTTAAATTTTATTCTATGAAGGGAAAGTGGATAGTATGACTTCATTCTAGATGAAAGATCAGAAACCTTGCCTCTGAAAACTATGAATTTTTATTATATTTGAAAAGAAGCAACATAAAGATTACTTAGGATGAATACTTAGTGAAAAAAGTTATGTAGAAAAAAGTTATGCTACTTTAAAAACACATCCATTTGAAAAATTAACAGAATGGAAATCTAGCAATTCCATTTCTAGAATTTTGCCTAAGAAAATGCTTACACAGATGCACAAAGTTGGTATGTGGGTATGTATACACACAGATGTTTATGTAAGTGCAATTTGCAATGGTGAGAAAAGAGAAACAACAAAAATATGTATCAGGAGAAGAATGGTCACAGTGTATCTGTTAGAAGAATGAAATAGTCATATTTGTTCTAACATGAAAATATCTGCAAGACACAGTAGTTAGGACATGAAGGCATGTAAGAGAAATTGATACTTTATTATACCATTTGAGATTTAAGAAAAACAACAACTTCTATACAGGTGTGAATACACATCACATAGTATATATATATATATATATATATATATATATATATATATATTTGAATTATATGTATATAGTTTGAAAATATAAATTTCTAACTATAATTAGTAGTTAATTCTTGGGAGAGAAGTGGAATTGATGGATGGGAATAAAGCAACGGGAGGTAAAGGTGAATATAACTTTTCTCCAGACATTTCTGGATTGTTTGCATTAAGCACGTAGTCATTTGTTACTTATATGATTTCTTTAATTAAAAACAGTACAATTTGTTTAAATCCCAGATGTCTTTAAAAAGAATGGCAATATTTCATCACTAGATAGATTCAATAAAAAATGGTTTCTTTAAAGGAAACTTTTGTGAAATATCAGTTAGTTATTCACATACTGTGCCAAATGTTTTTCTATGAGCTTATATGGAGAGTCAGAATTTGGATTTGTTTTGTTTTTAAAATTATACACAAAAGTGCAATAATGTGTATATATTAGGCAAGCCTTATGGTGTTGTGCTGAGTAATTTATTGCTTGAATCATAAAACTATGCACCAGCAATACTTTTCGTTATCCCTGAAACACAAAAACACTAGTAAACAAAGATAGCCATATTTCTTCAAACATCACACAACCCCTTCTCCTTAGTTATTCTTTGGCAATACAAAGCTCTCTTTTTTAATAATCTGGTGTCTACATGGTTTTCTACTATTATTTTTCTCCTGATATTTATGAGAATAATTTGCAGTCTCAAGGTCTCTTACATAAACTTATTCTTCCAACTCCTCAAAAGTAAAATGTTTTAATTCCCTATGATTGCACGAGTGACATGCTCTAAGTGGTGCTGGTGTCGTACTTCGTGTATGGAAGTAACTAATGAGCTCTCGGTTCCTCAGGTCATGTGTCTCAGCTGTTGTAGGAGCCTCCATGAAGATAGCTTCCAAGGTTCTGCAGTTGAGTGCTGTAGCGCTAAATCATTTGAATGCTTACAACCTCGCACTAGCCGCTATAGCTCAATGCATTGCAAACCAGGAAACAGTTATGATGCCATGGCAGTGATGTTAATCTAGCTGTGTAACTAGTTTGCCTACAAGTATATAATTAAGTTGAGGAGGTGCCTACCAAATGTTATAATTCAAAATGGTTCGTGAGGATAGGGATTTATGCACTATTCATACACAGCATTTTTCAAATCATAAATAGCTCGCTTCCTTTCTTCTTTTCTCTTAAACAATACTATCATCTGTATTTACATTTTTATAGAATAGAGGTTAAAGAATTGATAAATGATTTGGTAAGAAACAAGAAATATATGTTTTTTACTTATAATATTTGCTAAGGATTGGGAGAGGGGAAAAGCAAAATTTTATAGCAATTTACTAAAATTTTAGATTATTTTTAAGGATTCTACTTAATACATAGTCACTATTTACTTTTTAAAATTAAGATTCTTGAAATTACCATGGTCATTCTTGATAGAAAAAAACCCGAAAATGGTAATACCTTTATAATAACAAATTTGTGTATGTACCAAGTTTGTTGACTTCCTTCCTCCTCTCCTTTTCTCTTGTCCAATAATGTATGTCTGAGAAGATTTGATTAGAAAAGTGTTTCCTTTGACATCTTCCTGGACCTCTTCTCATCCGCTGTTTTCATGAGCTTCCTGGACATATCTGCATAGAAATTTGAGAGAATAGAAATATAGTCAATTTTTTAGGTGGTGTACCATCTCAGAAACAATCTGCAGTACATTTTCTTAACATTTTCATAAATCAAACTGAATTAGTAGATAAGACAAATTTTGACCTTTTTTTTTTTTTTTTTTAGACCAGGTGTAATATCGTTTTTGAGGCTAAAAAATACAAATGAAACAAAATTTGCTGCTAGAAAATTTATGAAAATCGTAATTAGGATAATTTTACATTCAAACTCAATAGAGTATATTGTATAATAATCTAAAGAAAACTTTTAACGCTTGCCTCACCTTGAAATACAGCTCCTCCACCTGCAAGACACAAAAACAGGTCTCCACAGTCTTACCCAGAGACATGCTTATCTGCAAGGTGATGAACTTTAAGTATTGTGTTCCTTTAAATCTCCCTGATTTGTGTATGCAAATTTGGCTTGCATATCTGTTTGCGTTTCTCTTCATCTGCCCAATTTGGTCTAGATGAAATGACATACAAGTCTAGATCCTGGTGTTTCCCAGAATATTTTTAGTCAGCTGTGAACTCTAATCCATTCTTTTAATGTCAGCTTGCTGCTAACTGGACAAGGAGCTATGACATTCACTCTGGGAAAAATAAACACATTTCAAGTAGGTCAAAACAAGTGGACCAATTGAGGTTTAACAGCTTTATCCTCAAAACTCCCCCTCCCCTCCACTCCCCATGAAAGACAGAACATTAAAACCATTAAGTTTGGTCCTTAAAACCATTAAATTGTTTAAATGTTTTCACATGGTTTGTTTTTCCCCTCTTTTGAAATTATTGGACTTGAATCTTCATCTAAAATCTTAGTTTCTTTAACGACAGACTTAGCATATCAATACATATGAGTTGTTGAGGTTTATTTTTTTTTAAGCCTGGATTTAAAATTTCTTGACTCTAAAAGTGAGTGAATTTAAAATTTGACATGATTACAGAAAATCTGCAGGAACGAATTATTTTAATTCATAGAAAGGCATTAACTGGGCTCACATAAAACAATGTAATAGCATAGTTTCTAATTTTTCTAAAGACAGCATTTAAAGACTAATTCTCAAAATAAATGTTAAAGAGGGAGGTGGGTGCAGGCTAGAAGGGGTTAATGGGGAAAAAAAGGACACCTATAATATTTTCAACAACTAAGATAAATTTAAAAAAATTAAGAATAAATTTTAAAAGAAACATAGATCAATGAAAAGCAGAATGAACAGAATTTTGCTAAGGTTTCTGCAAACTTATTAATAACATTAATATGATAAACATGCAATTTATTTTTGTTATAGCTCACCTTTATTAAATCTTTAGTATGGTCTATGTATTAAGCTTAGCACTTTATTCAGTCCCTGAAAAAAGTCTGTTAGATAAATTTGATTCTCATTCTCGTTTTGAAATGGGAACATTGGGAATCAGAGTGTTTCTTCATTTTCTCAAAATTCCTTAAAAATCGTGTTGCCCTTAGGTGTAGAGAAGTGTTTAGGGCTGAAAGGGTCAATTTGCTCAACCATTAATCTAAATTTTTCTCATCTTATTATTCTCAACATGATTTTCTCTTCAGTTAATTTTTACCTTGAACCTGTTTGCTATGACCACCACATAGGTGATTTTCCCGGAATAAGAAGAAATTATAACAAGCTGTCTACCAAGTCCTGGCAGCCATTTCTAGTGACACAGGAACAGCCTTTCACTGCTTTTGTGTAAAGTTCATGTGAAAGAAAATATAAAAAAGGAGCACGCTCTTCTTTCTCCTTTCACAGTTACCTTCCTCAGTAAATGGACACTAAATAAGCTACAGAAAAATGGAAACGAAATGACAGGATTTCAAAAAGTCTAATTGCCAAAGTTTTTCAAGTAAACAGTTTTCAGAAGAAAACATGCTAGCATGTTAAGGCTTCAGCTTAATGGGAACTCTTTTAAAAAAAAAAAAAGTGGGGGGGGCATACAGGAAAGTGCTAAAATAAGTAATACTTGTTTTTTAATTATAAGGAGAGTACCCTGAATCACTGACATTTAAAATAAAGTTGCTAAATTTGTTTAAATTCAGCTTCACTCTAGTTATAGGACGTTGGTGTCTTATTTTCTTCCATCCTTATATCTGACTGTGTTTTCTGCTCATCACGCCTTAGTTATAAGTTTTTAGAGTGTGATAGTTTCTCTTCCCTGGCTTGTCACCCCCACATTCCCGCTTCCCCTCTCCCTGTCTCCAGGACTGAATCCTCAGGGCTGCAGTACACATGTCGGTGTGCTGGGTTTTTGTTTTCTGTTTTAAATATATTTTTTATTGATTTTAGAGAGCAAGAGAAAGGGAGAGAGATATAGAAATATCAATGATGAAAGAGAATCATTGATCGGCTGCCTTCTGCATGCCCCCTACTGGGGATCTAGCTGACAACCCTGGCATGTTTCCTGCCCGGGAATCTAACCAGAGACTTCTTGGTTCTTGGTTGATGCTCAACCACCGAGAAACTGGCTGGGTTGTGTCCTTTTTCATGACAAGAATGTTAGATCTGACATGACACCTGGGGGAACTGGGCCATTCTATTAGCATCACACTAGGGAAGTGCCTACTGATCGGTGGTCTTTTTCAATTGCGCATGTTCGGGGATCCGGTAGACCTGATTTAATGGCAATCCCGGGGACTCTGTAGGCCAGTGAATGATTTTCCATTGTGCCCTGATTTGTTCACCTAAGACCTGACTTTTGGAATAGTGGTGTAAGGCTGGAGAATGTACCAGCAGGACCTCAGCACCTGGACACGTGGCCGGAGAGTGGAGCGCGTGGAGCCCCTGCAGCCGGACCTGCAGTGCTGGGATCAGCAGCCGAGAGCGCAAGTGTCCCGGGTAAACGCAATGCTCCTGCATCGGGGGAGGGCGGTTTTCTCTTTAATTCTGAAATGCAAAGCTTTTACTGACCAGTTCTGAAAGCAAAGGATACTCCTCACACCCTACTCCACTTGGGGAAACTGACAGGTCCCTCAAATTATTTATTTTGTATAAAAGCTCCCTTTAAAAATCTCATTTATATGTGGAATCTAAAGCACAAAACAGACAAACAAAATAGAGATACACTCATCGAACAGAAAATATGGATGGTTGCCAGAGGGGGGGGAGGGAGAGTTGGGGAACTGGGTGAAAAAGATGAAGGGATTAAGAAATACAGATTGGTAGTCACAGGGATGTACAGTGCACATAGGGAATATAGTCTATAATATTGTAATAACTATGTATGGTGTCGGGTGGGTACAGGAAATATGAGAGGGACCACTTGGTAAAGTATAATATTGTCTAAGCACTATGCTGTATACCTGACACTAATACAAAATAATACTGAGTGTCAACTATGATTGAAAAAAGAATAAAATAAGACCAGTACTTCTAAGAACAAATACTTAAACCCTGCACAGGGTGGTTTCTTGATTAAATTAAATAAAATGTGTTAAATAGGGAGAAATGCATTAGAAAAAGTAAGTGACACGTAAAGGAACCCTGAGAGGAGCGAGAAGAGGACAGGACTTAAGGGAAGGCATGAGAACAGCATCAGTGTCAGAGGAAGCTAAGCACGTGCACCGATAGGGAGGGAGCAGGACGAGATCCTGCTGCTCCACCCGTCCTTCCTGCCGTGATCCTGGGACAGCGTGTGAGAAAGTCATTTCCGTTTTGTGCTGACTCTTGGTGTGGGCTCAGTGCCCCAGTTACTTCCCAAGCAATTTTCACAAATCTGTATGAAAATGTTTAGAAGCATCTTCTTATAAATCAAACAAACTCCCTCATGGGAACTGTAGACTTTCCATTTCGATCCAGCCCCGACCCTTTCTCTTAAATTTTCATGGCAAGTTGGCTTTTGTTTCTCATGTATTTTGGAAGTTAATTTGGTCAAAGATTGGGGGGAAAAATACTTAGTTTTAAGAAAAACATGCATTTTTCTACTATTACCAATTATTTAATGAATCCACATTTTCAAAAGTAGATTTAATATAAAGAGGTATACATTATTACTATAATGCCTTTTAATTTAAAAAATGAGTAATTAACCTAAAAAAAAAAAGATAAAATTGATTATTTGTACTATCTTTTCTAGGCTAGCTTCTGAAGCAAGGGATTGTAATGGTCCCAGAAAACAATACAGAGTATGTGAGAATCCGCCTTGTCCTGCAGGTTTGCCTGGATTCAGAGACTGGCAATGTCAGGCCTATAGTGTTAGAACTTCGTACTCAAAGCATATGCTTCAGTGGCAAGCTGTCATGGATGAAGGTATGACCGACCACATCACCACATCTGGGTTTGCAAAATGTTTATAACAGCGGTACATGTCATTTTTACAGGTTATTCTTCTAGGTATTTCTACACTCCATTTTTTTTTCCTGCCTTTACTGACATAAAACAACCACAACACTGGCTAAAAAAATGTATACATAAAAATATCTCTACACATCAATCAGATCAACTAAAATACAAAAGAATGAAAATGCCAAATGCTGGTGAGGATGAGGCGATGCGGTGTGTGTCTGTCAGACTTTGCTGGTAGGAATCGAAAATGGTACGTGCAGCTACTGCGAAAACAAGCGTCACAGCTTCTTAAGTAACTAAAGATATGCTCATCATATAATTTAGAAAGTGCAGTCCTGTGCATTCATCCCAGAAGAGTGAAAATTTACAATCATAAAGTATCTTGGACACACACGTTCATAGCAGCTTTATTTTCAACAGCCAAGAACTGTAAACAACCAAAAAGGTTCTAAATAGTCAAATGCTTGCACAAATGGAGGTACATGCAGATCATATTAAGCAGCAATAAAAGGAACAGATTACTGATATGTGCAATGGCTTTTTTTTTTTTACTTCAGAGCATTATGCTGATTGAAAAGAAAACAACCTCAAAGGGTCACATACTGTATGTTTCCATTTATGTAACATTTTTGACATGATAGAACTAGAAAGATGGGAAATACATAGGTTAGCGGTTATGGGAGTTAGGGATGGGAGAGAGGAGAGAAGGGATGTCACTGTAAAGGAATAGCATATGGTAGAACATTGTGGTGAGGAAAAATAATTCAATATATTTTTGGTGGTGATGGTTGTAAACATCTACACATGTGATAAAATGCCATATAATCATACACATACATGTACCAATGTCAGTTCCCTGGGTTTGCTATTCTGTAGTTACCAGGGTGTAACCACGGGGAGAAACTGGGTGAGAGGTAAATGGCATCTCTCTGTACTATTTTTTCAACTTCCTGTCAATCTTGGATCATAATCAGAATTTTAAGAAAATTGTATGTTGCCTATTTCTTAAGAATGATAACTCTTGCCCATGATCAGTGGACTGTGGGTTCGAGCTGCCGTACCAAAGGTGGCGGGAATTCTCCGTCTTAATTGACCAACTTGCCCCTGGTCTCTCCTTCTGTTGTTTCTCCCCTTCGTCAGTTTGGACTCTGCAATGCTCTTGTTAGTAGCCCACACCCCATTGTTTATCAGGTTCAGTGCCCCCATCTGGCCAAAAACCTTCCCTCCATGTAGGCAGCTGAGCTTACAAGCACTAATGCGAACAGCTAAACAATCGAGCACATTATTCCACTACCAATTGGTGGGGGGATAGCCATCAGATAATTTCCTCCTCATTTTCTTGCTAGCAAACCCCTGAGCCTAACCATTTTCCATCTGCTTTCTACCATGCAGCACAATCTTCATTCCTCCTTTCCAAAGCCGAGGGCTCCTTCTGTGTCCGTGATGTCATCCCGATTTTCCCTTTTCAGTGTGCTCATTGGTTACCCCTACTTTCTCTTATATACCCTGTTTCCCTGAAAATAAGACAGTGTCTTATATTAATTTTTGCTCCCAAAGATACGCTAGGTCTTATTTTCAGGGGATGTCTTATTTTTCCATGAAGAAGAATACGGTACACATTTATTGTTAAATGAAAATAAAGGAAATTTATTACCTGTATACGGTATGGTAGTACGGTAGTTGTCAACACAAACCAGACAAACTGTGAATCCTACAGTATCAAGAATTTACTCATTTATTCAATGACAATCATGTCATCATCATCTGGAACATCATCATAACAATCCAATTCCTGAATTTCCTGGTGAATTTCTTGTGACTCCATTTCTTTCAGAATCAGTGGACCAAATCTCTCATGTTTAGCCTAGGGGGGCTTATTTTCGGGGGATGCCTTATATTTCACTCAGAAGGAAACCTGTAAGTAGGTCTTATTTTCGGAGGATGTCTTATTTTCGGGGAAACACAGTACTTCATCTGCTTTTTCTAATTTTTCACACTGGATTTTTAAAAACATATTTAGGACTCCTCCATGAAAACCTGCAGACCTTCCTCCAAACCCATGGCCACTTCCAGCTGGTGTACTTACACTCCGCGCCCCCCCCCCCCCCACACACACACACATACACCCAGTGGACACACTTCTCCAAAGAAAAGAGTTGTCTGTTTTCCAGCCCTCTGTTTCCTGGCTTTTCAATCTGGATTTCACCAGCACAAATCACACTAATGTCGTCAGGACTTTCATAGACACTAGACTTAATAAATGGTTTCCAGTCCTTTTTGTACTTGAACTCTCAAAGACATTCCAATGGTTGGCTACCCTTTGGTTCTTGAAACACTCATGCGCCTTTATTTCCATGACATAACACCTCCATGTCTACACACTCTCTCTGGTGTTTTCTGACTAGCCCAGATGCTATTCTGTTTTCACTCTACATTTTCTTCTTAAGTGATCTCATCTATTCCTATGACTTCAAATATGCAAATAACTCATGAAGTTATGCCTTCAGCCAGATTTTTTTCTTTGAGTTCCAAACTTGTTTGTGCAAGTCCCTCCTTGATATTTCTACTTGGATATCTGCAGTTTATGACTAAATTCACGATTTTAACCCTTCCAATCCATGCCCATTCTGATCCTCTTCAGTGTCTCCTATCTCAGTGAAGGTTATCCCAGCTTTTCAGTTGTACCAGCCAGAGATGTGACATTCTAAATTTCCCTCTTCCTCCCCCACACATCCAATCCATCACCATGTCGTATCTATTTTACTTCCTGAATCTCTCTCCACTTTCTCTGTTCTAAACTTCAGTTTCCACCGTTTATTGCTTGGGCCACTCAAGTGGCTCCAAAGAAGTCTTTCTGTTTCCACTCTTCTGCCTCAACTCACTCTTCATAGAGCAGCCCCTAGATCTTTCTATAAAGTGCAGATTTGATCATTTGTTTCTCTCCCTTAAAGCCTTTCTGAGGCTTCCCATAACTCTTTGGGTAAAGACCAAATTACTCCACATGACATGCACAACAAGACCCTCCTTAATCTGCCCCCTGATACTGTCTCCTTCACCTAAAACCTCCATCCCTGTCACTTGGCACTCCACGCATTGGTCATGTTTTACTGCCTCAAACATGTCTTGTTCTCTTTCCCCACACAGTCCCCAAACAGAGTTTCTTCAGTTGAGAAGAAATTACATCACAATCCCTTCAAAAACTGGTTATTCTGTCTTTATGGATGTTATCATATTTTATTTTCTTCTTCTTTTACTGTGTATTCACAATATTAGTAAGGTTACATAAAATCCATCCAGAATGTCATCATTTTTCATCATCCAGAACTGCCACCCTGGGGCAAGCCACTCTCTTTCATCCAGATGATTGTAGTGGCCTCCTGTCTTTATGCCTGTGCCCTTACCCTGCCTTCATTCTGAACATAGCAGCTAGAATGATATATTTAAAATGTCAGTCATATCATGTTCTTCTTCCATTCATAACCCTCTAGTATCTTCACAACTCACTAAGAGTGAAAGTTTGAAGTTCTTTTAATGGCCTATAAGGACCTCCACTACCTGGCTTTTTGTTGCCCTCGAACTTCATCTCTATTGTTCCTTCGTCACACCTTTCCACCCACGCAGGTTTCCTTGTTCTTTCTTGAATAAGTTAGGTACCCTCCTGTCTTAATATCTTAGAGGTTGATGTTTTCTGTGCTGAAGTACTTTCCCCAGATATCGGTCTGATCCATTCTTTCACCCCCTTCAGGTCTTTTCAGAAATATAAACTCAGTGCCTTTCCTTTATCTTCTTTATTCTGTTGTTCCAAGAGCTTATCATCTGCCATAATACTTTTATGTTTTATTTGTTTATTATATGCCCTTCAATTAATAGTTGTAAGGTCAGGGATTATTGTCATATTTTGTGCATGCTATATCTCTAGCATTGTAAATACACGTGAACAGAATAGGCACTGAGTCAATATTAGGTGAATGACTGATGTGTCCAGTGGGAATTTTCGAGTGGTCTGTCTTGGCCCCGCTTGTCTTCTGACTAAACATTCTCCTTAAAATAATCTTATTAATTCACCGGGTTTTATTTATCTTCTATATGTAAAGAAGCACAAATATTAGTCTCCAACCCAGATTGCTCTGTTCTGATCTCCTTAGCTACATACCCATCTGTTGCATAGCATCTCAAAATCCTATTCGTGTCCAACTCAACATGCTCCCAGTTGAACACACCCCCTGTTCCTTTCCTTTTCCAATCCATCTTATACTTCTCTTACTGGGCTCTCTCACTGAGAATGAAATCAGGATCTGCCTCATGACCAAGCTAAGCCAGAATCCTTCCTCAGTCTCCATCCACCTGTAATCAGTCATCAAATCTCACTTGTCCAAATCTTCCTACTGCCAGCATCTTTATTCATAATCGCACCATCTCCAAACTGGATTCCTTAGTTTCTGCACAGTCTCTGCCATAGCCTTACGCTCTGCTAGCCACTTCGCATTTCAGCCGGGTTGGCTTTCTGAAAGGACAGGCTTGTCAGGTGCAATGACAAGTAACACCCTTCCGTGAGTCCTGCTGCTCTCAGGACCAATCTCACACTTTATTACCTGGCCTGTACGGTACTCTCTTATTTCTGGGCTTGTGAACGTGCTAGTTTCTTGGCATAATCCCTTTTCTTTCTCAAGCTTTGATCTCTCTCTCCCCATTTATTTACCTTGAAAACTTCTGCTGATTTTTTTTTTTTTTTTTTTTTTTTACTCAGCTCATGTCAAGTTTTCTAGAAAAAAGAATCCCCCTGACCCTCCAAACTGGGTATTTGCCTCTTCCAAGTACCCGCCAAGCATCCTGTTGTTGCAGATTTCATGTGTCTGTATTCTCTCTATTGTCTGTGCCTAGTATACAGTCTGGCAGTTATTAAGCTTTTGATTAATATCTGCTGCATAAATTGGAAACACATAAACAATATATTTTTGTTGTAAAGATATAATCAAGATGACTATTCAGATCTTGAAAGTGATTATCTGATCATTTGAGGGGTAAGTCTATCTCTGCCTCTAACTGACTATACAGTTTGGTAATATTAAATTCATTTGAAACCTGTCTACTCATATGTGAAATAAGAGATAGGAAAGAGTTTTCCTTCAGGTTAAAAAAAATCAGAATTGGATGGGAGTCAGTTTGAAATATTAAAGATATTGGAAATCACAATTGAATAACTTCCTAACTTATAAAGTGACATTTATCACCAGAATAATCCATAACAGATAATTATACAATTAGCAGGTTAGCATTTTTTATAATGAATTTTTTACAAGTGAGACATCAAGCAAACCCAGCAGTCTGTATGATGAATAGAACCCACAACAATTTGTCTCCATAGATTATTGCACAATGGAAGAAATTCAAATACATAATTCTGTTTAAAAGTCTAAGTCTTAATAACACATGATACCTTGAAATTCAAGTGGCTATTTCTGTTACTGTTATGGAGTACACGGACCTGTGGCTGGGAGAATTAAACTTGGGGCATCAATGCCGTGGAACATTTATTTTTAGAGAAAAAAGATGCATGGCTTTGACATTCAGGTGTTTTGCATACTCGGTGCTGAAATTTGGCTGATAGCCACGTTTAATGCATATCTTGGAAAGGGTTCGTCTCTTAAATCAAGACAGAGCCTGCCTGCCAAGTGCTGGCATGTTAAATGGATCGCTAGAATGTCACCATCTCAAGGGTATTCTCCAGGAAGGAAGATTGGTATCAAATGTTTATGTCATCTGTAAAGCTAAAGTAAGCACAGCCAATTGACAGTACGTTGTAAAAGGAGAAATACGAAGATTTTTATCTGAAGCCTTGCTTGGAATGTGAGTGGAATTTTCTAGATTAACTCCTGTCAACATTATTCATATATCAGGTTTGCTCCTCTCTTTCATAAAAACTCCAGAAAGAGATATATCTTTTAAAGTGTTACAATTACAGCAGCTGTTGTTAAGTCCAAAGATATGACACAGTAAGCAGCCATTGAATAAACATAACCTACTTTGAGGTGTGAGAGCACACTGAAACACTTTATTGTGGCTTATAATGGCATCCTAAAGGAAAATTTCAAAACCATGCACATTGCAGGCCTTGTTCCAACTCATCAAAATTGTTCAAAGCAGTATTCAGAAGCCACATGTGAAAACTGTTTGAAATGTTCAATTCTGAAGGCTCATTTGACTGTCCGTCTTTGCAAAGTGATACCCTGTTCCACGCCTCTGGCTGTTATTTGGTATTTATAGAACCCCATCTGCATCCTGGAACTTTGCTGAAGACATACTCGAAGATCATGGCAGAGACTGTCAGCTATTTTCCATTCTCTTTATGTGAGCTTAATAAACAGTAAAGGGCCCGACTGGTGTCAAGCCAATAGAGTAGTAATGTAGCATGGAATTTGCTCTAAAGTTTCAGATTTGGATAATCCTACTACTGGTGTTACCATGTACTGCAGCTCCTCTGTACCATGCTTACAAATAGAAACAGCGCTTTAAAAATATTTTGGCACTCTTTGACTGAGCTTAAAAGACAAGTGCTTTAGCTCTAACTGCCCAATCTTATTGTTTAACAAAGTACCCGAGAAGACTGCCAGCCATTCAAGAATTCTTTACCTAGAACTGTGGTTCTCAACCCCGACGTCCTAGACACTGACCTGCTTTCTGACTAAGCAGTAAAGGAGGTTGAGTCCTAGACAGCTAGACAGCGCGTCAGCAATGGTGTACACCAATGGATGTTCTGATGGGATTGTGTTACATTTCTCAACATCCTAGTCATGCAAAAGCTTGAACAGTGGTTCATCTTAGAAGTTCTTCTTTCTCCCTTTTGTTATTTTTCAATTAGAAAATGCCAAATGCATAGGAATGAAAGTTAGTATTTTGAGATTTATAAGTGAGGTCAATAACACCAGAAATTAATACAAAATAAACTGTAATTGAAAAATAATTTTAAAAAAATATATTTTATTGATTTTTTACAGAGAGGAAGAGAGAGGGATAGAGAGTTAGAAACGTCGATGAAAGAGAAGCATCGACCAGCTGCCTCCTGCACACCCCACTACCGGTGATGTGCCCGCAACCAAGGTACATGCCTTTGACCGGAATTGAACCTGGGACCTTTCAGTCCGCAGACCGACGCTCTACCACTGAGCCAAACCGGTTTTGGCTGAAAAATAATTTTTGAAAAAATTTTTTTATTGATTTCAGAGAGGAAGAGAGAGGGAGAGAGAGAGAAACATCAATGATGAGAGAATCATTGATCAGCTGCTTCCTGTATGTCCCCTACTGGGGATTGGGCCTGCAACCTGGGCATGTGCCCTTGACCAGAATCCAACCCAGGACCCTTCAGTTTGCAGGCTGACACTATTCACTGAGCCAAACCTGGTAGGGTGAAAAATAATTTTCTTTTAAGTTGAAAAAAAGAGTTTTAGAAATAAAGTAAATCTTAAATGGGTAAATGTCTGATATGTAATTAAGACAAAAGGGAATTTGTTCCAAAAAGATGTGAGCAAAATGGAAGTGGCCATAATATTTTTCAGGAAGAATGGTTGGCTTGCGTGGTAGAATTTTAGTGCCAGAAAATAATAAGTGATACATTTTGAAAATAATCTAAGGACAGATTTCTTAAGAAGGACATTGATACTCATTGGATAACAATTTTTCTCCAGGCATCATCTCATATGCTATTCTTAATAACCTTCTATTGTTATCTATCTAGTATTACATTATCCAATTAACATTAAATTATATTTTTTACTCAATAACTGTTCTGAAAAATAAAGCCTAAGATAAAAATATTTATGCAATCACTTCTGCTTGTTTCTATATACTCCGTATGTAGGAAAACCATGTGCCTTGTTTTGCTCACCTATTGGAAAAGAACAGCCTATTCTTCTGTCAGAAAAAGTGATGGATGGAACTTCTTGTGGCTCTCAGGGATTGGATATCTGTGCAAATGGCAGGTGTCAGGTAAGATGGTCTGAACGGGAGAGAACATACATGCAGAAAGAGGGCTGTGGGACCCCTGAGCAGCTCCCCAGTGTGGTAGAGAGCTTTGCCCTAACATTCAAAAGATGTGGATATTGTCCTGACTCAACTGTGAGCTATACCAAGTCTGATCTACTCTGTATATTAGGGTTTGGACTAGATAATCTATATTATCTATTATTAGTGGAAAGATTATGAGATTTTTATTCTATCAGTACTTTCTATAGGCCTAAAATTATAACACTTTGGTCATTTTAAGCCAAAACAGGGCAGACCAAAAATTCAAGCACTCCAGTTCTCCATGTCTTGTGTCCTAGACTGAATCATGTCATAAAAACTAAAGTCAATCCTACTACCCACTTAATATGAAAGCACTTTATTTTTTAATGTTTTTTTTAATGATTTTTAGAGGGAATGGAGGGAGAGAGAGAGAGAGAGAGAGAGAGAGAGAGAGAGAGAGAGAGAGAGAGAAAGAGAGAGAGGTAAGAAAGAAACATTGGTTCCCTCTTCTTGTACACACCCCAACTGGGGATCAAACTCGTAACCTGGTCATGTGCCCTGCCCAGGAATTGAACCGATGACCTTTTGGCACATGGGATGATGCTCAACCAACTGAGCCACACCAGCCAGGGCTGAAAGCATTTTAAATTTTCTTATAATACTTAAACATTTCATTTGGCTCTGTCTTCCTTTTTTAAAAAATTTTAATAAAATTTATTGGGGGTTACATGTTAATAAGATTATATAGGTTTGAAGTGTACAATTTTATGATACATCATCTATATAATGCACTGTGCACCCACCACTCACAGTCAAATCATCTTCCCACACTACATATTTAACCCTCTTTACATTTTACTACCCTTCCAGCCCCCTCTCTTCTGGTAACCACTCTACTGTTATCTGTGTCTATGAGTTTTTATTTGTTTGTTTTTCTTGTTTGTTCATTTGTTGTTTTCAGTTTTATATCCCACATATGAGTGAAATTATTAACTTTTGCTGTCCGATTTATTTCGTTTAGTATGGTGTTTTCAAGACCCATTTATATAATCCTCATCTACTGCATGCATTTGTGTGCTCTTCTTCATTTATCATTGGAAAGGTAGAAATTCTGATAAAGTGAGGATGAGCAGCATGGTGGAAAGATCCAAGGCTAGAACTTAGAATTTGATAGTTGTAGCTCTGCCTCAGGGTGGCTTCCCTGGGAGATTAATATGCAGGTTGTTTAATGCCTAGTGTTTTCAGGATAAACATTTATGTGGGAACAAAAGGAGGCAGGATTGGGCACAGGGAGAAACTGGGCTGTGGTGCAGTCACAAGACCTCGGCTGACCCTGTGGGTATTGAAACTGGGATGGTTCTTCAGAGTTGTCCCCACTTGGGGTGGGAAAAAGCTCTTTTTACCTGTAGCAGCTACGAGCGTTTGGACACAAACTGTCTTTGGAGAGAATGTGACCTTGGGAAATGAAGTTTCCTTAAGACTAGGTAATTTCCGAAAAGGGTTGGGGGCTGAGAGCCATCAGCTGATAAACTGCCCAGGCATGGGAGGGAAATCCATCCTTTAGTTACGAAAGAGCATCTGAGTGGAGCAGCACCGAAGCCATGACAGCCACTAGGAAGCTGTTCTTGGGAAAAGCACTTAAGATGGGTCTGCATCAGTGGACTCTGTAAAATGAAGTTGTTGGACCAATGGTCATTGATTTTTGTGTGCAATACACTCCTTTGAAAATTTGATGAAAAGTGTCCTTTTTCACCCCACATGCTCACATTTTGAAAATAATTACAAGCTATAGATGGATCAGTCTGGTTTAATAGAAGTCTATAGACTTCTGGATAAAAACTTGAAAACAACATGAAACTGAAATGCTTCACCAGCTCTGAGATTCTATACTCTTCCAGCATGCTATAAAATTTAAAGCTCAGAATCATGTACTAACATTGACATAAGAAATAGTTTTTAAATTGCATATTAATTTCCTTTATTATTTAACAGAATATGGCAGTAATATAAAACGTAATCTTTTCATTTATATGTAAAAATAAGTCCTTGCAGATACTTCTACATATTTGTTTTCAGAATTAAAATTATGTATGTTGTATAATTAAAGCTTTTAATTTAATTGTATCATTACATGTACATCTGTCACATTATTGTATGTCTTAAATGAATTTATTTTTCAAGAAAAAGTTTTCCAGCTACATATGCCACATACAATAGCCTAAATTACTATGCTTCTCACTTAACAATGTTGTGTAAGCCAGATCTTTTACAGAGTTCCTAGCTAGACATTAAAATTACAGCAACAAAAAAGTATGCATCAATGCTATGAGACTCTGATGATTATAATTACATTAAAGTCCTATGAAATGGATTTTGACTTCTAACAGCTTTGGAATACTTCAAGATTCTGGCTTTTTAACTAAAATGCTTCATCCAGTCTTTCAGTATAATTAAAACCATATCTCCCTCCATTTCCCCCTCCCCGCACCCACACACACACAACCTTCTATATGTTGGGTTTGGATTGAATGTCTTGTTTTATCACAAAATGCATAGCACTGAAGCTGAAAATAGAATTTTCATCTTGGTGAATGGACTAAGGAGGGCAATTGAAAATAGACAGCTTTCTCCCAGGGACATTTCCATCATGCATTTCCATTATCTAAGCATATTTTGATAAGTGTAGGCACTTGAGACTACTGATTACAAAATATGAAATTCTTTATTCTTATCTTAAAAAAATGCATGATTATTGAGCCATGGCTCAATATGTCTATAACCCGGACTTTTAGGTTTATAGACATGTAATTTTCCAGTTATAAGGGTTAGACAAAAGAGAAATTAAGTACTAATTTATTCAATTTTTAACTACTATTTATTGGGTTTATTTTATTTGCCAGAGTACAAGCTGGGGACTAGGTCTAGAGCAATAAAGGTGCTCTGTTACTTCAGAATCACTCCAGAATCTACTCTACATTTTTTGGTCATTTGTATATGAAAGAGATATTTTTTTTCTCACCCCAGGACTCCCAAGTCTTTTCATGGCTCTGCTTCGTGACGTTTTCCCACACCTTTGTTGTGTTTTGAGAGTTTCCTGTGTGGCCACCTCTTCCATCGGAGACATTCCCTTTATCCCTCTCTGAATAAGCTTTCATTTGCTGACTAGCTTTTCTGCTGATGTGTTGCATTGTCTACCTCTTGACATGAATACAGTCCTCGACACAAGGAAGGATGCTATGTGATGCAGGTTTCATGTGATTTTTGCTCTCAGGAGGTTTATCCTGCAGCTCCTGTTACTGCCAGCTTCCCTCATCGTAGCACCACCCGCACCAGCCACAGCGAAAGACCTGGTTTTTGTTTCTGTTTTACTGATAGCGTTTAAATCCCGCTAAAGTAGGTGTAACTTATACATGGATGTATCCTCAGTCCATCTTGCAACTCTTATTTAGGGGTAATTATATGATCCTACTATTTATTTCTGGCAGCATTGATAATGATAAATTCTGTCCCTGGAGTATGTGTAGCTTTACAAAATATTGTTATATTTTCTGCACATGTCTAAGAGACCAGCATTATTCGCTAGAAAAGATTCAGTGATTTAATCTCAGAAGATTTGTATTAACGCCATTTTTCTGGAAGTATATAAATATAATTCCCCTGTGGCTTATATTTTCTCACAGCAGCCACATTTGTGTGCTGGATGCCAAAAAAGACAGGGATGGGAGTTTATTCATGAACTGTAGTGAAAATAAACCTATATTTGCTTTTCAAAATAATTAATATTTAATATTCAATATTCACTTTGCAACTTTAGAAGTGAAGCCATCCATATAATGTAATATATCTACTCTATTTTTTAGTAGAATGAATTAGATTAGTTGTGTTATGTTTAATAGAAATGTCACTGCCTGCCAAAACCGGCTTGGCTCAGTGGTAGAGCGTTGGTCTGCGGACTGAAAGGTCCCAGGTTCGATTCCGGTCAGGTACGTTGGCTGCGGGCACATCCCCGGTAGGGGGTGTGCAAGAGGCAGCTGGTTGATGTTTCTCTCTCATTGACGTTTCTAGCTCCCTCTCTCTCTCTCCCTTCCTCTCTGTAAAAAATCAATAAAATACATTAAAAAAAAAAAGAGAGAAAGAAATGCCACTGCCTTTGGGATTTATGTAAATTGCATTTGTTTCAATATACTTTATCAGATTGCTTTAGGATATCATTTAATTTTAATAAAATAAAAATATTCTCTACACTCTTCTGCTATTTGATCACTTTTAGATGATATTTGACACGAGCATGCTGTATTGGTTTGCATCAGAGACTATGACATTTTACTAGGTTGTCAATTAAATATGTCTAGTTTGTAGAGACTAGGCTTGTCCTAAATTAGTGTTAAAAAAGAAAACACTCATTTTATGATGTGTCGCCATTCTTTTGTTACAGAAGGTCGGCTGTGATGGTTTCTTAGGGTCTCTTGCAAGGGAAGACCATTGTGGTGTATGCAATGGCAATGGGAAATCGTGCAAAATCATTAAGGGAGATTTCAACCACACCAGAGGAGCAGGTAATTATATTTTTATATTTTCAAAATTAATAATCTGAACAATCCTTGGGGACAGAGATTACATTGAACTTGACTTAGAAATCGCAGTTCTGAGCCTATTGAAGACCTTGTAATGGGTATTGAATGCTTTTTCATGATGACATACAATACATGAGATATGAGCCAGAAATTCTAACAAGGCCATTTCCAAATAATGAAAATATGAAGTCATCTGTTGTGCATTTAATAAATTGGAGCAGCAAGGGAATAATCTAATTTGCATTGGCAAATGTTATCAGGTTTCCACAGGCCTTGTTCTCCAATGTGGAGCACAATGTCTCACAGAGAGTACTGATTTGTAACGGCCTGAAGCAACTCTTCAGAGCATCAGGCTTCAGGTTTTCAGCTTTCCGTTGTCTTTATGTTTTCTTAATGTTTTTACTAAATTTGAAGGGAACACACTGTTGCAAACAGAGAGTCTGTAGCACTGTAGCACAGGGGAAACAATAACAACGGGGAGTCAGAAGATGAGGGATAGTGTTCCTGATGTATTAATAGTGAGAAGCCACCCTCTATTCTTTTGTTCTCTCATCTATAAATACTAATACTCAGGGGATGTGAGGGTGACATGAATATGATTGATCAATATGGTGTGGGTTTAAAACTGTGAATCACAACAAAAGTAATGTAACCTGTACTGAAATATACTTTAGACACGGCGAATGCTTTACACACAGGCCCTCAGGTTTACTGGGAGGGGACACATATTTCTGTGTTTACATTAGTATCTCACTAGACACCTGCTTATTAAACTATCTTATTATTTATGATAATATTTTCATCATCTTTAGGATGCACATATTACATATATTAGCCGTTTCCTGTTTTAAATTTCTTTCTTGGTCAAATACCAAAAAAACCCGAGACTAAGATACATTTTCGTTTCAATACAAAAACAATTCATTTGTGTTTGAATGATCAAGAAAATGGAGTTTATTCTAGATAAAAGGATCCTTCAGAAGAGAGTATTAGACACAGCCCTCGGAAGTTGAATGTAAGCACTTGCTAGGCCCCGGCAGAATAAAAGATACATGAACGTAAGATTTTGAAGCCTAACAATAACCAAGGTCCAAGATAAGTTACAGATCCAGATCTCAGTCTCCAAAGCTGTGAAACGGGGGCTTGTGAGTCAAAAGCTGCCATCATCCATTTAGAAAAGTTCCAAAGCTGTAACAAGCTCTCGGACTTTCAGCTAAGAAGTTCATTTGTCATAAATTGTTCAGCCTGATTGTGGTGGCAGAAATCTTTGTAGTGCATGAGGTCCGATGAAGTCTGAGAGACTAAAGATGTAAAGACACTAGAATTTTTGAAGAATCGTCTTGCATAGTTGTTTGGCATGCATGGAAACCGTTCACTGAAGAATACTGATGTACACTCAGCACTGATATCTTAAATTGTACTAACACTTGATTTTTCCACCAAGCATAGAAAAGAGAAATACTAGTTAACCAGCCAGTAAACTGTACTCACATAACTGCAGTCAGAATGATAAATATTATTGTTTATCATAACTGACTGCAGTTATGTGAGTATAGTTTTTCAGATTTCTATTTTAAAAGTTGTTTTTATTGCACTTTAATTTTAATTTTGTTCATTTGTTTGTTTGTTGAAGGTAAGTTGCATTAATGGCACCTGTTATTTGGGAAATGCCTGAGATTCCTAAGATATTGGAATTATCAGAGACTAATAATATTACTTTCTCCCTTAAACTCCATGCCAGTTTCACAATCCTCACAAGAGAGGGAGGGAATTCTTACTTTGGACCATACAAATGGTCCCACATGATGTGATCTCTACCTGTCTCTCCAGCACCATCTCTCATTAAGGCCCATTTCCTTCTCTAAGCGACAGTCACCAGGTTTCTTTTAGATTATCCAATTGACCTTGTTCCCTCCAGTACCTTGCAGTTAAAAATATGGCCGCTAGCTTCCTGTTAGCTTTGCCTGGTTAATTCCTAGCCATCACTTAGATCTCAGTTCAGTTGTCACTTATGCAGTGAAGTGTTCCCTAAATGGCCTCCACCACTTATCACTAACAACCACATTCCTATTCAAATTCATATTCATTCATATCCATATGGTGTAGCTCTAATCCCATTTGTAATTGTACGTTCATTGGTCTTTGCTTCCCCACTTTAAGGTCAATGAGAAAAAATATCCTGGCTGTTTTTATTCAGGCCCCAGATTCTCAATGACAGTCATTGTGTCTGATTCTTTGCTAATTTAATTAACAATGAAACATTACATCAGTAAGAACTTTAAAAAAACAAAATGAGTCTGTAATTATATCATAGGCTTCCTCTACTTGTGAATTTAGGAATGCTGTGTTCATTTCTCTTGAGACAATTTTATCCTTATGGTTTATGGACTTCCTCGAATTTCTTGAAGGAATTGCAGCCTCCTTTGGTCCAGTTGGCCATGCACACTGTATGTGCTGTATGAGTAACACATGTGCAGACACATGTGGGTGTTTCGGTCCCTGTGCTCTATTTAGAGTTTGCTTAGTCATTTTTGTTGGAGCTAGAAAACAAACTTAAGAGGAGGGTTTTTTTCTTTGGTTTGTTTTTTTTTTTCTTGTACATTTATCATGTCTTTCCTTATAACTTGCCTAGCTAGAAGATAATTTTTTAAAGGAATTTTTAAAGTTAAATCGTGTATTTGGCCAATTGTGTAACTATATAGTTATCAGTATACACGAAGAAGAAATGGGCATAAAATGTGTTCGTAATATAAGAGCTAATGATACCTATTCTGTGTAAGGAACACAGCTCTTAGACTGTCTGTTTGTATGTTTGCCACGGGACTAGGAGTGTCAGAGTGCCATATACTAGTATTCTGTTTTATAATATAGTAGCAGTGGATCATAGCTGGAAGTGCACAGTGGAATCAGACGGATCTGAGTTACAAGCTTGGGTCAGCTAATTACTGACAATGTGGTATTGAAAAAGGGATGAAGCCCATGATATAATTAAGGTCTCAGGCAGATTTTTTTTTCTTTCTGCCTAAATTTATTTTCTCATCTATTATGTGAGAAATGTAATATTAAAACAATGGTACTTTGGGTGTTATCATTGTGATTAAATGTAGTAATTTATGTAAATTACCCATAATAGTGACTAGTACATAGTGTTGCTCAAAATATGGCATTTTTCATTGTTACTTACCATGAAAATAATGATTGCTATTGGAATTTTAAGATGGCTGATTAATAATGGATCTCTGGTTATAAAATAGGATTGGATTTTGGTATGTAAAAAGCATGCTGACACAACAATTTATGACGATGATGTCACAGGCTTTATTTCAACTTCTAAGCTCAGTGGTAGCCACTCTCATATTCACTTCTTTAAACATCCTCAATTGTGCTAAATGGCTTATTTACTGAAAAATATCTAGGCCCCCAGTCATTAGCTTTTTCGCATGTCTTTGCTTAATATTTTCCTTCCTCTCTTCTTTAAATTCAGTTTAACTCACTTATCATCCAGTCCATTCCAATTGAATATCAGAAAATTGCTCTGGATATAAGTGTAAATTGTCCTAATGTACAAGATACCTTTGCCTTTACTGCTAAACCCGGTTACTATCTCCACTTGCTGCTGCCCAGTCATCTTTTTTAACATCCTGACATTTAGCATCTCCAAACACATAGCTGAATTCATTTACTGAGAGACTGACAGTCATCTCCTGATTGTGACATCCAGGCACAATCTCCTTTATCGCTTTTCTCTTTGACGTTGCTACAGTTGGTGACGCAATTGACCAACCACTCTTCTTGAGATATGCTAATCCAAAATAGCCAGATCTCCTCCTTCTCGGGATTATTACTTCTCTATATTCTTTCCTGATTTATTTTTAACCTCTGTCAGTAGGTTAGATTATCATCCCCATATGCCAAGATTGTGGGTTCGATCCCTGATCCCTGATCAGGGTACATGCGAGAATCAACCAAGGAATGCATAAATAAGTAAAACAAATCAATGTTTCTCTTTTTGTCTCTCTCTAAAAATGAATAAATAAACATGTAAAAAGCGCAGAGCTATTTTTCAATTTAAAACCAAACAAACATAAAAACAGTTCTTGCCAGTAGTTCTGTTGGTTGGAGCATCATCCTATGCAACACAGGGTTGTGGGCTTGATTCCTAAGTTTCAGGTTTCATCACCCAATGGAGTGCATGTGGGAGGTGGCCAATCAATGTCTCTCTCTCTAACACACATCTATGTTTCTCTCTCTCCCTTTTCCCTCTCTAAAATCAACAACAACAATAACAACAACAACAACAAAAACAAATAGTTATCAGTATACACTAAGAAGAAATGTGTTCTTAGTATAAGAGCTAATGATACCGATTCTGTGTAAGGAATTGTGTGAGGATTTTAAGAAAGCCCAACTATGACTGTCACCAGTCTGGAGTTCTTGACTTGTCTCTCGATTTTCTCCACTTACTTTTATGACTTAGTTGATTATCTCTGCAAAGATGCCTCCCAAAGGGACTTGAGTTGTCTGACCCTTTTCTGGAGTTCCAGATGGTCAGAGCTCTTCCTGGATATGTTTACTAGTGTGTTACACCATTTTGTTAAATGCAAATTCCAAAGCAGAGTTTATCAGATTCTTACCGCAACCTTACTTCCACTGTCTTGTAAGCAATGGCCCCATTCTCACCTAAGTAATAATAAAGCATTGAGTTCAATGTTTGTTTTTCCCACTTTCCATTGATTCTCAAGTTCAGAATTTTTTTGTTTCCCTTCACAAGCCTTCTGAAATTACTGCCTTGGCCTCTACCATTCTTGGGATTTTACGTTAGACTTCTGACACTGTTTTCCACAACTGCATTGCTGGATCTCCTGCATCCTGCTGCCAGTAGCTGATTACCAATGATAAAGCCTTTCTGACCAGTATCTCATTTCCAAGCTGGCTTGCTATAAAATCTTCAGTCGCTGCAAATTGAAAAATTTCAGTGCCCTGGGCATACTTTAAAACTCTCTTATTTTGTCAGAATTATTTTATTCATGTGCTCCTAAAGATGCCACTTGCTCCCTTAATTTTCTTTTTTTTTTAAGTAGTATTTTTTAAAAAATATATTTTTTATTGATTTTTATAGAGAGAGGAAGAAAGAGGGAGAGAGAGACAGAAACATCAATAAGAGAGAAACATCATTGATTGGCTGCCTCCTGCATACCCTCTACTGGGGATCGAGCCCTGACCAGGAATGGAACCTGTGACCTCATAGTACATGGGTAAATTCTCAACTACTCAGCTACACCGGCCAGGCTCCTTTACATTTCTGTACACACAGTGAACTTATCCTTTTTCTATATCTATCCGTATCCTGTCCATTCTTCAAAGACATTTCATCTATTTTGTGAAGCTTTCCTTAACTATAAAAATTGTTTTCTCCTCTGAATCATACATAGTCATTCCAGCTGAAGTCAGTGTTTCTCAAACATGAGTAATGTATCTCACCATTTACAAGGGAAAAATAAAAAGTATATCCCACTTCTGTGAGTTAAAAATAGCAGCAAACCTTTTGCGTGATGATGTGATCAGAGAAGGAGGGGTGCAGTTTAAACCACATGATTTATATTCTTTAGCAGGGAGTTAACCACAACATTTCCCATATGATCTTTTAAACTTGATTTTTGAAGTTTGATTTACCCCAAACTTATATGTTATTTCTGCCTTATCTTTCCAATTGAATTGAGTGCAGAGAACTTCTTGCCTTACTTCTGAGTACAAATAGGCAGTAAGCATTTGTCTATTTTCATTGCTGTCTATTTGTTCATGTAACAAAATGATAGTTGCCTGCATGGTTTGGTGTTACTGACAATGGTCAGATTGAGTAACAGTGTTCGCTAATGGAAATTATGATTCTAAAAGGTGGGACATATGCTACCTTTCAATATATACCAAATGCAAGAAACACTTTCAGGAATTTGAATAATCAACAGCAGACAATTCTGAGATTAACTTTGAAATTAGACTTCTCTCTGATATATGAAGCTACACAAATATACTAAGAAAAACATTAAATACTAGAGGCCTGGTGCAAGAAATTCATGCACGGAGAGTGGGGGGTGTCCCTCAGCCCAGCCTGTACCCTCTCCAATCTGGGACACCTAGAGGGATGTCCCAGTGGGATCAGGCCTAAACAGGCAGTCAGCCCTCTCACAATCCAGGACTGCTGGCTCCCAAATGCTCGCCTGCCTGCCTGATTGCCCCTAACGGCTTCTGCCTGCCAACGTGATAACCAACTAACGATTCCTCTGCCAGCCTGATTAAAATGTAACTGCTCCCCTGCTGGCCAGGTTGCCCCTAACTGCCCTCCCCTGCCAGCCTGGTCACTCCCAACTGCCTTCCCCTGCAGGCCTGGTTGCCCCCAACTGCCCTCTCCTGCTGGCCTGGTCACCCCAAACTTCCCTTCCTTGCCAGCCTGGTTGCTGCTAACTGCCCTCCCCTTCCAACCTGGTCACCCCTAACTGCCCTAACCTGCTGGCCTGGTTGCCCCTAACTGCCCTCCCCTGCCAACCCAATTGCCCCTATCTGCCATCCCCTGCAAGCCTGGTCACCCAAACTACCCTCCGCTGCAGGCCTGCTCACCCCCAACTGCTCTCCCCTGCAGGCCTGGTCCCCCCAACTGCTCTCCCTTCAGGCCTGGGTCCCCCTAAACTTCCCTCCCCTGCTGGACTGATCACTCCCAACTGCCCTCCCCTGCTAGCCATCTTGTGGCAGCCATCTTGTGTCCACATGGGGGCAATCATTTTGTATGTTGGAATGATAGTCAATTTGCATATTACCCTTTTATTAGATAGGATTATTGCAATAAATGTATGTATCTATTTATTTTTAAAATCTATCTTTATTGTTGAAAGTATTACAGATGTCCCCTCTTTTCTCCATTAAACGCCCCCTTGAACTTGCACCCATGGCCCCCTCAGGTTTTCACCACAGTATTGCCTGTCAGTGGACTGTGCATGTGTGCTTATAAGCTTTTTAGTTAATCTCTCCCCACTCCTCCCATCCCCATCCCCACCTTCCCTCTGAGATTCATCAGTCTGTTCCATGCTTCTATGTTTCTGGGTCTATTTTGTTCATCTGTTTATTTTGTTCAATAAATTCCACATATGAGTGAATATAAGTTTAAAACTAAATAAAGTATCTATTTTATTCTTTATTAAACGAAGTCTTGATTTTTTACCTTTTCTGCACATTCTCTCTTCTATCCCACATTATCTTGTCATCTTATTTCACTTCAAGCTTTATATTTATAAAATTCTGCTGAAAAATCTTTCCTAAAAAAAACTAATTGTGTTTTGTTTCTAGCTGTCGGACACCTTCCTAGGTGACACCAGCTTGCTTGGTGTGGCCTTACACCTACTTGTCTTGATCCCCAGTTTCACAGCCCTTTGTGAGTCTCCTCAGGGAGAGGCTGGTGTGTAAGCTCAGCCACTCCAGGGACCTGGTGTCCTGCCAGCTGCAGTTCCCTCTTCCCTGCATTTTCTAACTTACATGAGGTCCCCAGCAGAATCTGAGGCTATTTTTCTCTGTTCTCTGTTCTGTGTTTCTAATTCGGCTGTCCCATTGTGCTTTTTCTCTTCTCACAATTCATATAGTGAGTTTGACATAAAATGTAATTGTCTGTTTGCCTCTGATAGTGCTGTAGACTTAACATCTTTCCAAGAAACTTCTCTACTTGAAACGATGACAGCTTTTGTACTTAAGTTTTTTCTTCCCATTGGTATGAAATCATCAAAGCAAAAAACAAACAAATAAAAAAAAACACAAAACAGCAAGCCAACTAAGAAAAGAGATCTCCTAAGAACTCGAGATTTATTTCCTGACTTATTGACTCTTGCAGGTTATGTGGAAGTGCTGGTGATACCTACTGGAGCTCGAAGAATCAAAGTGGTGGAGGAGAAGCCGGCACACAGCTACTTAGGTACCTGGGTTACAGACACACAGCCCATCCAAGTAGGAGCCAGCTCCCTGCCTGGGCATTCGATTATGACAAGGCTGTCAATCTGTTTCTAGTTATATGTGTGAATTTCCCAGGAAGCACCTTTTGTCATATCAAGTTGAAGTTTCTTTCAAGGACTCCCCAGGAGCAAAAGCAATTTGGTTGTCTGTGTGTTTTGGAGGGATATGAATTGCTTCCACATGTTAGTCCATGTTATAAAAAACACCACCACACTCATTGAGGATTTGGGTATGCTTTGTTTCATAGGTATGCATTTGTATAAAACATTTCATAAATATATTTATTTCATAGATACACGCATACATATACACATAGTTATATTTCTTGTATAAGAAAATGCATATATTCCTGTATGTATGTGTAATGATTACTTTTGAATTAGGAAATCTTGTGTGATTCTTTAAAAAATTTCAATATATTAAAAGGACTTAATATTTTAATGGGAAATGATACTCTTTTTTGCCTCACCTATGTAGAGAGTATTTAAAATTTTAAATTATTACTTATGGAAAGAATTGTATGAGCTATTTTAATTAGGCAAATTAAAACTAATTTTTTATTTAATGATTTTTAAATATATGAAAGAAAATAGTAAATTGTCAAAATACATATTGCTTTGTATGTTCAAATTTCAAATTAAGTCGGATGAAGTGATCTTTTATAGTCATGGCATCACAGGTAGAGAAATCTAGTATGATTAGGTCTGACAAAAAAACATGATATTCTCCCCAAATTTAAACATTGTATTTATAATATCTTTTTAAAAAGCCTGCCTATTTTTTCTTAACAAAAATAATGTCCTCATTATTCTTTATCAATTAGAAGTATCCTAATAGGGAAACATTTTGTACATGATTAAAAAACTAATATTGTGTGATTGTTTATATTCGACAATATTGGAAATTGCCTATAGTACTCAGATTGAATTATTTTTCTTATTAGGGCTTACTTTCTAGGAGTAGGAAGGTTTGAGAAAAGAGGACAGTAAAATAAATCCTTTGTCATGTGACACACTCATTAGTTTGTTTTTATTAATATTTAAATTTTGTTTTTACCACCTATAATTTTAAAATGCATTTAAATGCAAGTAAATCCTCCCAAATGTCCAAATTCAGATCAAAGCTCTAATAACCCATTTTTGGAGACACTGTGCAAACTACACAATTTCAAAATATTTGTTTAATAGTAGACCTTTGGCTATCACACTGGGGAATATGGTGTGTGTGTTCCCAAGCTGAAAAGGAATGTAGATGTTTCAAATGGAGTTATCTCAAATTCTACAAAACTACATCGTATTATGATTTTTAAGAACTTGAAAATGTGGCTAAATACATAAGCCAGTTTTACAAATGGGAAATTTCCATGCTCTCCCTCATTCCCTACTTCCCAGGCTCTTCAACCAATCCAAGCTTTTTTCTGCCTCCACTCTACAGTAACTGCCTTGGTCAAGTCAGCCAATGTTCCATATTGACAGTCCAATGGTCACGTGATATTTGACTAATAAAAAACTGTTGACCTTTTCTTCATTCATTAAATTCTTTCTTTGTTTGGCTTCTAGGATCCTTACTGGTTTCTTTTGTAGGATTCTTGACCTGCTTTCCAAATGCTTCTATATTGTGGCTCAAGCCAGGGCCCCGCTCTCCTCCCTGCTATGTTGTCTCCCTAGGAAGTCCCATCTAGCTCCATTCCATATTTATTTGATGCAGATTATTAAATGTCTCCTATGCACCTCAGAAATAATAAGTATAAATCAAAAATTTTATTCCAGCCCATGCTAAAGCCTCTTTCTCCTTTGGTTTTTCCCACTGCAGTAAATGTCACCCTATTAGTATTTTATGACTTCTGTAACTATTATCACAAACTTGTAAGTTTCAAAAAACAGGTATCTCACAGTTCTGGAAGCCATAATTAGTTTCAATGGATCAATGTTCAAGGTGGCTGCAAAGCCATGCTCTCTGAAGATTAGGGAACCTCCTTGACCCTTCTAGCTTCAGATAACTATCAGCATTCTTCTGCTTGTGATAATATGTGCCTCCCTAGTGTCAATGCCTTCTCTTCTTTTCCTGTATTTAAACCTCTCTTCCCACCTCTTACAATTAATGCAATCAAGAATGCGTGTTGATTGCATGTCAGGCCCACTTGGATAATACCCCCATCTCAAGATCCTTAATCTAGTCATATCTGCAAAGTTTGTTTGTTTATTGCCATGGAAGGTAGCATTCTAGGTTCCAGGGATTCTGACAGATAACTTTATTCCCTTCACTAACACCTTCTTAAAGCATTTTAAAAATTGATTTCAAAGAGAAAGAGAGGAGGGGGGAGAAACATCACTGATGAGAGAGAATCACAGATCGGCTGCCTTCTGTATGCTCCTCACTGGGAATCAAGCCTGTAATCCAGGCATGTACCCTGACCGGGAATTGAACTATGACCTCCTGGTTCATAGGTTGACACTCAACCACTGAGCTACACTACCTGGGCATACTAACACTTTTTTTAAAAAAATTGTGGTAAAATTTACCATCTTAACTATGCTAAGTATACAATTCATTGTCATTAAGTTCATTCATTTTGTTAACTACCACCACTACTATCCATCTCCTGAAGTCTTTTTGTCTTGCAAAACTAGAACTTTCTCCATTCAATAATAACTTTCCACTCACCCATCTCTCATCCCCTGCTAACCACTATTAAGTTTTCTATCTCAATGAATTTTGCCACTCTACATACCTCATATCGGGTCTAGTAATACTTAATGTTGTTTTTTAACATTCGTTTAAAATCTTGCTTGGCATTGACATGACTTGTATTGACATAACCTTCAAACACGTGGTATCTACAGAACGTGTGAAGTGCAATTAACAAGTTTTGCTTGAAAAAGTTTGTGTTTGGTTGGTTTTTGTTGCAAAACTAGGGCTAAGAAGATGGCGGATGAAGAGCATATTCGGCACTGCATGCTTTACGAGTTCCAATTAGGAAGAAAAGCAAGTGAGGCTGCAAAAAACATCTGTAGTGCTCTTGGTCAAGATGCAGTTAGCGCCAGAAAATGCCAGCGTTGGTTTGAGAAATTTCGCGAGGGAAATTTTTTGTTAGATGACAAGAGTGGTCGAGGCCGTGTGTCCAATTTTGATCAAGAAGCTCTTCAAGCTCTTTTGGTACAATATCCTCAAATTACCCAACAAGAGCTTGCGACAACTTTAAATTGTTCACAAAAAACAATTTCCACTCAATTGCGTGCACTTGGCAAAGTCCAAAAGTTTGGAAAATGGGTTCCTCATGAGTTGACCGACAACAACCGTAATCAAAGAGTCACAATTTGCAGTTCGCTCCTCTCTCGTCAAAACCGTTTGCCGTTTTTAGAGCAAATTGTTACCGGAGATGAAAAATGGGTGCTGTATGTTCATTTGAAAAGGCGGCCTCAATGGTTGGACAAAAATGAGGCTCCGCAGCCCACGCCAAAACCTGACTTGCATGAGAAAAAAGTGATGTTGTGTGTTTGGTGGAATTTTAAAGGAATTCTTCATTATGAACTTTTACCATCTAACCAAACCATTACAAGTGCAGTGTATAGTGCCCAATTGGAAAGGTTAGCCCAAGCTTTAAGAGAAAAAGAACCCGCGCTGATTAATCGGAAGGGCGTAATTCTTCACCATGATAACGCACGACCGCATACTGCAAGAATCACTGCTGAAAAACTGCACCAGTTGGAATGGGAAGTTCTCCCTCAACCTGTATATTCTCCTGATATTGCCCCTTCCGATTACCATTTGTTTCATTCTTTGCAAAACTTTCTTCTTGGAAAAAAATTTAATAATGAAGAATGCCTCAAAAATGCATTGACCGAATTTTTTGCATCAAAATCACAAGAATTTTACAACAGAGGGATTAAAATGCTTCCTGAGCATTGGGCACAAGTAGTAGAAAACAACAGCAACTATATTATTGATTAAATTTTGTTGTATTGTTTAAATAAATTCGATTTAAAAAAGTATTAGAAAACGACATTAATCATTACTAGACCTAATATATGTGGAATCATGTAGGAAGTGTCCTTTTGTGAGTGACATATCACTTAAGAGAGTGTCTTCAAAATTTATCCATGCTAAAGCAGTTCCCTTCATTTTTAAGGTTGAATAATATTCCATTGTTTGTATGTACCACATTTTGCTTATTCATTTCTTCATTCATGGATACTTGGGTTGCTTCTTCGTTTTAGCTGTTGTGACTAATGCTGCCATGAATATGGATGTACAAGTCTTTCTTCAAGATCCTGCTTTTCATTCTTTTGAGCATATACCCAGAAGTAGAATTGCTGACGTATGTGGTAATTCTATTTTTTAATTGTTTTGAGAAACTGCCACACACCATTTTCCATTCCCACCAATAGTATGCAATGGGTTCTAGTTTCTCCATATCCTCACCAGTGCTTGTTGTTTTCTGTTTATTTTAATAGTGGTCATCCTAAATGGTGTGAGTTGATATCTCAAGGTGGTTTTGAAATACTTTCTCCAACAATTCCATATGCTGAGAATTTTTGGTCATTTGCATATATTATTTGGGAAAATGTCTATTTTAGCCCTCTTCTTACTTTTAAATTAGGTTGTGTGTTTTTTGTTGTTTGTTGATGAGTTTTAGGAGTTCTTTATATGTTCTGGATATTAATCCCTTATCAGATATATGATTTACAAATATTTTCTACCATTCTTTGGGTTTTTATTCTTGTTAATATTGTTTTTTGGTGCACAAAAGTTTATGTATATGCAATTATTTTTAATTTTCATGAAGTTTAATCCATCTCCTTTCTTTTATTGCCTGTGCCTTTAGTGCCATATCCAAGAAATCACTGCCAAATTTAGTGTCATGAAGCTTTTGCCTTATATTTTCTTCTAAGAGTTTTACAGTTTTAGGTCTTGGATCTTTGATCCATTTTGAATTAATTTTGTATATGGTGTTAGTTAAAGGTCCAACTTCATTGTTCTGTATGTAGTTACTCAGTTTTCCCAGTACCCCTGGCTGAAAGACTGTCCTTTCTCCACTGAATGATCTTGGCACCATTATCAAAACTCATTTGACTAAGGCTTATTTTTGGGATCTGTATTCTGTTCCATTGGTCTATATGTCTGTTTTTATGCCAGTAGCACACTGTTTTTGATTAGTGTAGCTTTCTAGTAAGTTTTGAAATCAGGAAGTGAGAGTCTCCAGCTTTGTTCCTCTTTTTCAGGATTGTTTTGGCTATTTAGACTCTCTTGAGATTTTAGGAAAGTTTTTGTGTGTTTTTTATTTTAATTTCTGCAAAAAAAAAAATATATGCCATTGAGATTTTGTAAAGGATTGCATTGAATTTATAGATTACTTTGGATGATATTAACATTTTAACAATATTCAGTCTTACAATCCATTGACTTGGAATGTGTTTCCATTTATGTCTTCTTTAATTTCTTTCAACAATGTTTTTTAGTTTTCATTGCATAAGTCTTTCACTTCCTTGGTTAATTTCCAAGGATTTTTTCTTTTTTTCTTTTTGATGCCATTTTAAATAGAATTGTTTTTCTTAATTTCATTTTCTGAGTGTTCATTCTTAGTGTATAGAAATGCAACTGCTTTTGTGTGTTGATTTTATACCCTGCTTCTTTGCTGAATTCATTTATTCTGACAGCTTTTTAAAATATAAAATCTTTAGGGTTTTCTACATATCACAGCATATCATTTGTGAACATAAATAATTTTACTTCTTTCTTTCTGATTTGGATGCTTTTTTGTGCTACTAGATTTGGTTTTCTAGTATTTTGTTGAGGATTTTTACATCACTGTTCACTAGGGAAATTGATCTGTAGTTTCATTTCTGTTTTTTTTTTCTTTTCTTTTCTTTTTCCTTTCTTTTTTTTTTTCCCCCCTGGTGTTCCTATCAGGAAAATACTGGCCTTGTAGAATGAGTTAGGAAATCTCCCATCCACTTCAGTTCTTTGGAAAATTTAAGGGTTGGTGTTGGTTCTTCTCTAAATGTTTGGTAAAATTTACCAATGAAGTCATAAAGTCCAGGGCTTTTCTTGGTTGGGATATTTTGATTACTGATTTATCTGCTTTCTAATTTTTAGGTGTATTTAGGATTTCTATGTTTTTGTTGTTTTTTTGTGTGTGTGATTCAGTCTTAGTAGGTTTTGTGTTTATAGGAATTTGTTCATTTCATATCAAATTTGTTAGCATACAATTGTTCATGGTATTTTTATAGTCCTCTTTATTTCTGTAACATCAGTTGTAATGTTCTCACTTTCATTTCTGATTATTTAGTTGTCTCTTTTTTTATTTAGTCCATCTAGCTTAAAGATTTGTCAAATTTGTTGATCTTTTCAAAGAACCAACTTGTTTTTTTTTATTAATTATTTTTCTATTCTTTATTTCACATATTCCTGCTCTAATCTTTATTACTTTCTTCCTGCTGGGTAGTTTTTCTAGTTCTATAAGTTCTAAAGCTCAGTTGTTAACTTGAGATCTTACTATAAGTGTTTATGATTTTTAATTTCCTCTAACTGCACTGCTTTCACTTGTGTCCCATTAGTTTCTGAATGTTACATTTTCATTTCTATTTGTCTTAAGATATTTCTGAATTTCCCTGTGATTTCTTCTTTGATACATTGGTGTTTGAGTATGTTGTTTCATTTCCATAAATTTGTGAATCTCCAGTTTTCCTTCTGTTGTTGATTTCTAACTTCATCCCATTGTGGTCAGAGAAGATGCTTTGTATGATACATATCCTTCAGGACATGGATACCTTTGAGGAGAGGCATCATTATCCTATCACAGTCACTAATTCCTATCACATGCTTGCTTTTCTATTGCCTGTCTCCACTGTTAGTTCTTAAAGGCAGGGATCATTTTGCTCATGACCATATATGCAGTAGCTAAAACAGTCTGGCACACAGGAAATAGTAAAGACTTTCTGAGTGAGTTTCAATTAAGATGCTTCACATTTGTATAATGATTAGTATGAACCAGCACATTAAATATACCCATTACATAAATCCTCACAATAACTCCATGAAGTGTATACCACTAATTTCCCAATTTTAATAATTAGACAATTAAGGAATAGAGTTTACCTTTTGATTACACATCTAAAAGACTGTGATCCTGGATTTAAACCAAGCAATTAATTTGGCTGTAGTGTTTGGTTCCTATTCTCTCCTTTATACTAAATATACATAGTAAAGTTCTAAAGTTCAGTTGTTAACTTGAACTTTAGAACTATATATATCTCTATATATCTATATCTCTATATCATATATCTATATATCTATATCTATCTATATCTATATCTATCTATCTATATACATATATACATAGATAGATAGATATAGATATAGATATAGATATAGATATAGATATAGATATAGATATAGATATAGATATAATTGATCTCAGAGAGGAAGGGAGAGGGAGAAAGAGATAGAAACATCAGTGATGAGCCAAAACCGGTTTGGCTCAGTGGTAGAGTGTCAGTCTTTGGTCTGCGGACTGAACGGTCCCAGTTTCGATTCCGGTTAGGGGCATGTACGTTGGTTGCGGGCACATGCCTGGTAGGGGGTGTGCAAGAGGCAGCTGGTCGATGTTCCGCTCTCATCAATGTTTCTAGCGCTCTATCTCTCTCCCTTCCTCTCTGTAAAAAATAAATAAAATATATTTTTAAAAAAAGGAAACATCAGTGATAAGAGAGAATCATTGATCAGCTGCCTCCTGCACTCCTCCTACGGGGTATTAAGCCTACAACCCCTGGATATGCCCTGACTGGGAATTGAACTGTGACCTCCTCATTCATAGGTCAACTCTCAACCACTGAGCCATATTAGAGACTTTTAAAAAGTATAATTGTGTCCTGAATATGTTTATGGAAATGCAGGAGGGAAATGTAATTACACTGGCCATAGTACAAATCTAGGTCAAAAAGACTTCTCACAATATTTAATAGACTTTCTGAGAAATATAAGAAAATATTTTACCTTTTAGGGAAAATCATTATTTTTTAATCACTTTAGCATTATTTGATTTATATCCATTTGTAGAGTGTAATAGCTATTATTTGCAAAGCGTTGAGAGTTTTCTGTCAACATTTATTTTCAAGTTAAAAATTCAAGGTAAAAATAATGAATATTTTTTCATAAATCTGAAAATTTGCATGTTTATTTTTATCTAAACATACTTTGTATGTATTACATCATAAATATATTATTTTCTAGAAATTAGAGTTGGTGAGGTGAAAATTAAATAATTAATAGATGGCTTATAATAATATGAATATAAGCACCAGAAAAATTCCTCAATGGATCAGAAAAACCTTAACAGATAGTGAATAATTTATTTAGTTTGCTTAAATTAAACATGCAAATGACAAGTAAGCAAATGAAAAATGTCTTAAGCCTCTGTAGTAATGAAATAAGAGTTGTTGTTTTTTAAAATCTAGATTATTAAAAATTTAATTTCTAAAATTTCTCCTCAGGTATGTGTTGGCTAGAGAAAGGTGCTTCCAAGAAGGTGCTCAGAAATGGGCACTCTGTTCACTGTTATGGAAGCATAAGTTGCTGCAGCCTTTATGAAAAACAATTTAAAATTCTTTTTCAAAATCTATTAGTGAGCAATTTATTTGCCTCTGTAATTCCAAATCTGGGAATCCTTCCAAGGAAAATATTCAGATGTACACATAACTAGTATACAGTATATGTTTCTGAGCATTGTTTACAATAAAAAAAAAAACTTGGAAAACCTCAAACATTCAATAGATATTAGCTTACATAATACTTAGGAAGATTATTGGCTTAAGTTATCAAATATTTTCATAGAATTATGACATAAAAGTCTTTGATTAACATGCAAATGACTTTTGAAAGAGAATTCAATTATATGGAAGAGTCTAGCACTTTTATTTTAAAAAATTAAATTAATTGGGGGAAAAAAATCTTGAATTTAAAATGGTAATCATGACATCTCACTTCCATGGCTTGAATTTATTTAAATAGTAACAGAGATGAGTTAAAAAAAATAGAGAAAAAGAATGTAGGTAAACAAAATTATTCTGTAAAATTCCATACAAGGGATGGCTATGTATAGATGAGAATTAGCATTTATTTCCCATTTTTGTACACATCAAGTCACAAACTAGGGATGTAAAAGGCCTTGAATTCTGTTTTTAACATCAACATATTATTTTTGAAATTTCTTGTAATGTCATTTTTTAAAATCCTCATCCAGAGATATGCTTTATGTTGATTTTAGAGAGAGAGGAAACGAGAGAGAGAGAAAGAGAGAGAGAGAGAGAGAGAGAGAGAGAGAGAGAGAGAGAGAGAGAGAGAGAGAAAAGAAAGAGAGACACTAATTGGTTGCCTTCTGCATATGCCCTCACTTGGATGGAATCCACAACCTTTTAGTGTACGGGACGATGCTCCAGCCAGCTGAGCCACCCGGCCAGGGCTAACCCTGTCATTTTGATCTATTAGTTAACATGCTATTTAATGACATTTCTTTGATGGCACACTTTCCAGAGTAGCATGGAAAATATGGAGGATGTAAAAGTTGCCATGTCAGCCCTCACTTTCTTTGTGGTATCATTGCATAGACAACACAGATACACAGAGCCTTAAAATAATAATATATTAAAGAATACGTGATTAAGGATCAAAATAAGGGTTCCAGATGTCTAATGTCCAATGACATTGGAGGAGGTCAAGACAAATATGCCACATAGTTGGGACCATTTCAGGAGAGAAGGAGAGCTTGTGGCTTTTGCTATGATTTTGAACTTTCCCGGTGAGGACATGCCTCGTGTCCTCAGGAAGTTGACACTTCCTTAGTCAGGAAGTTGACCCATTGGTTTAGAAATGAACAAAATACTTTTAATAAACTCATGTGAAATGGATATTGATGAATGCTGCTTGTTGATTAATTCTCATAATATTTTTGAACCTCTTCATAGCTCTCCGAGACACTGGAAAGCAGTCTATCAATAGTGACTGGAAGATTGAACACTCTGGAGCCTTCACCTTGGCCGGAACTACTGTCCATTACATCAGAAGAGGCCTCTGGGAGAAGATCTCTGCCAAAGGTCCTACCACATCACCTTTACACCTCCTGGTATGAGGGGGACAGTCGGTACCATTGCCTAACCAGTTCCCCGTGGCAAAGGACATTCCCATCGTGCCTCCTCTAACCTTTTCACACTCTGAGATGTCAGGTAGACATTTAAAATCATATAAGAGGTGGATTTTTTTAGGGATTTAAAAAAATGTGTTTTCCATTGTGACATATAAAAACGAAATTTATTATAAGAGGAACAAAATTTTATAGGGACCCACAGACTCAAAGGAGAGATGAATTACAGGCAACAAAGAAGCTTTTTCCCCCCCTAAAAGCATATACATTTGCTAACCAGAGTGGATGGATGTCTGTGAAGAGAGAGCCATAATAGGGTAAATCAGAGCACTGTTCTATACATCCATGAAATAGGCCTGGTCTGATCTGTATGAAATGCCCTTGATAGAATGGTACTCTTTCTGGGAAAAAGACTGGGCACATGTATCAAATAGTGCTTACAATTACTCTGTTCTGTTTCCTTACTAGGCTAATTGATCCCTGTAAGGAATTCTGAAAATTGGAATGTTTGGGATAATTTTTTTACCATGTAATAAAAGACTAGACTTGAGGCAGGACAGAGTTTGAAGTGAAAGAAGTGGGACAGTGGTTTCTGCACCCAACCAATGGCAAGTCAAAATGCCCTTTTTGACCTTCATCCCTGCAGTCAGTGCTGATGGCTTAGGAGCCAGAGGGCTGACTGCACAGCTGGCGTGCTTTCTGTCCTAGTGACAAAGCCAAAAATTCAGACACTTCAACACCTCTTTAAGTCCACACGTAAAAACAACTTTAAAACACGATCAGCTGACTCTTTATTTGGAGTGTGTTATGGCACATTATTTAATATCGCCCCACAATTTGAGTGGAATTTTTCTTCAATTGGAGACATCTGTGTTGCCAGACTAGGAGCTGGAGGTTCAAATCGCGTATCTGCCCATTTGCTTTTCCTACTTTAATGTGCCTGCAAAGCACCTACTGAATCAGACTATACATATCTAAATGTATAGTCCGATTCAGTAGGTCTGGGGAGGAACCTGAGATAGACATTTCTAATCAGCTCCCAGGCAATGCCACCACTGCTGAGTTCACGGAACACATTTAAATGACAATGTTTTCTAGATCTGTAATCAATAGGTTTTACCATCACAGGTAAAGGGAGTGAGGAGAGTTAGGTGCATGGAGACCTTCTGCTCCAAGTCTTGATGATAATGATGATGATTCATTTAGCACTGGGTCAGATACTGTCCAAAGTGCTTTATGTTCATTACAGCATTTAATTGTCATGCTAACCCCGTGTAACATGTATTATTATTACTCCATTTTACTGAACAACTAAGTATTCGAGAAATTAAGTGATGTGCGCAGTATCTCCCAATAACTTATTTATCCAAGAACAAGGTAGGTATTAATCAACCTACTATATTGGCCCTCCTCACATGAAGCTTAGGTCTAAGCTCTACACTAGAGAGCCTTGGATCATAAGTGCATGTGTACTTTGAATAATTATTTGTTCCTCTCCCCACAATTTCTTTGAATCCTATAATTTAATTTGAAGGGGAAACTTCACTCTATGCCATCTGGAGAGAGGGGAGGGAGCTGACTAAACAAACATATATACCCAATATCAGGCTCTTTCCATAATTGTGTTATTATTTATTTATTTATTTATTTATTTATTTATTTATTTATTTTAGTTACAGTTGACATACAATATTAATTAGCTTCAAGTGTACAGCATAGTGATTAGACATTTATAAACCTTACAAAGTGCTCATCCAGAAGTCACTTAAAAATCACATTTCCAACAAACAATATTTTAATGATTGAATTGCAGGAAATGCTTGCCGAATATGAATGTAACCTACATTTTTAAGGAACAATTTTTTTTACTGATTCCCTAATTCAAAATCTTAAAACAGTTGACCTGAGACCTCAGTGCTGGGCAGAGGGAGTTTCCTTGCTGCAGAATTCTTAATCTGACTGGTAATTACCAAGGTTTTTCCTGGAAGCATGAAACATAATTAAAGTCAGTGAACTATGCCTAAAAGAAGGCATCTATGTGACCTGGACTTATTCAGTAATCCAAGGGAAACTGCACCTCTAAGATATTTGTCTTTAATGACTATTACAGACTGAAAGCCAGTACTGCATTTTGAAAGGCAATACCTTCTGCCATGTTTCAGTCTGCGCCCCTCAACTGTAACACGGTCACACTTTCCTTCTTGCAAAAGTGTGCTGCCAACTTCAAATGGTTTCAGAAGAAGCTGACGGCTTTATAGGCAAGGTCTCTATTTCAAATAGCATTATTTATTCAAGGACAATCTAAAGTATTAATGAAAATATAGGGGTTTTGGGTTTTTTTTTAAGGAAAAATAGACATGTTTTCATTTAATTAAATAAGTTGGCAAGTATCTGTTATTTATAAGTTCATTTAATCAACCATAACCCATGGACACAGACAATAGGGTGTGAAGGCCTGGGTGGGGGATGGGACAGGCTAGAAAGAGTCAATGGGGGGAAAAGGAGACATATGTAATACTTTGAACAATGAAGATTTTAAAATAAACAAAATAATGAAACACAGGCAAACTAAAGTAAATAAATAAATAGATAAATAAAGCTATGTAATAACCAGACTCAACAAGAAAAAGAGAGGACCCAAATAAATAAAATTAGAAATGAAAGAGGAGAAGTAATAACTGACACCATAGAAATACAACAGATTATAAAAAAAAAATATTCTGGGCCATGGACAGGTAGCTCAGTTGGTTAAAGCGTCATCCTGATACACCAGGGTGGCTGGTTTGATCCTTGTTCAGGACATATCAAAGAATCAACCAATAATGTATAAATGAGTGCAATAAATCAATGTTTACTTATCTCTTTCTCTAAAATCAATTTTTTTAAAAAGAAAATATTTTAAAACTATATAGCAGCAAATTGGAGAGTCTCGAAGAAATTGATAAGTTTCTATTATAGAAACATACATTCTTCCAAAACAGAATTAAGAAGAAACGGAATATGAGCAGACTGGTTACAGTTAATGAAATTGAAGTAGTAGCCAAAAAACTCCCAGCATACAAAAGTTTTGGACAGGATGGTTTCACAGGTAATTTTACCAAACATCCAAATTAGAACCAACACCAATCCTTCTTAAACTATTCTAAAAATTTTAAGAAGACAAAAGACCTCCAAGCTCATGTTATGAGCCCAGCATTCTCCTAATTCCCAAACCAGAAAGAAGAAAATTATAGGCCAATATCTCCAATGAATATAGATGCTAAAATCCTCAACAAAATATTAGCAAACCAAATCCAGCAAAGATTAAAAAGATCATACACTGAGTGGGCTTTATTCCAGGATGCGAGGTTGGTACGATTTCTGCAAATCAGTTAACATGATATGCCATATAAACAAAATGAAGGATAGAAATCATATGATTATGTCAATAGATGCAGAAAAAAAGCATTTAACAAAATCTAGCATGCATATATAGTACAAACACTTAGAAAAGTGGGAATGGAGAGAACATACCGCAACATAATAAAAGCTATATATGACAAACTCACAGCTAACATCATACTCAATAGGGAAACTAAAAACATTTTCCTTAAGATCGGGAACAAGACAGTGCTTTTACCACTCTTATTGAACATAGCACTGAAAGTCCTAGCCACAGTAATCAGATAAGAAATAAAAGGCATCCTACTTGGAAAGGAAGAAGTACTAGTAAACTGTCATTATTTGCAGATGACATGATACTATAACTATATATATAGTTATAGTATCTCTCTCTCTCTCTCTCTCGAGAGAGAGAGAGAGAGAGAACCTTAAAGACTTCACCAAAAATTTACTAGAACCAACAAATTAAATAACTAGCAGGATACAAAATTAATATTCAGAAATCAGTAGCATTTTTATATAGCAATAATGAACTATCAGAAAGAGAAACTAAGAAAACAGTGCCATTTACAACTGAATGAAAAAATGAAAAAATTTAAACTACCTATGAATAAGCTTAGCTGAGAATATAAAAGCCTTAAACTCAGAAAATTATAAGACATTGAAGAAATAAGTCAAAGAACATACTAATAGAAACTGGATGAGAGAAGACTATTGCCAATAACATCCAGTAAAGGGTTAAGATACAAAATTTATAAAGAATTCAGACAATACCAGAAAAGCAAACAATCCAATTAAAAAGTGAGCAGAGGATCTGAGTAGTCACTTCTCCAAAGAGGACATACAGATTGCCAACAGATATATGAAAGGATGCCCAAGATCTTGAATCATCAGAGACATGCAAATAGAACCACAATCAGAAAACACTTCATACCTGTCACAATGGCTATCATCAATAAATCAGCAAACAAGTGTTTGAGGATGCAGAGAGAAGGGAACCCCAATGCACTGTTGAAACTGTATGGAGGGTCCTCAAAAAATAAAAAATGGAATTGCTTTATGACCCAGTGATTCCACTTCTGGCAATGTGTCCAAAAAAATCCAAAACACTAATTTGAAAGAATATATGTACCCCTTTGTTTATTGCAGCATTATTTACAATATCAAAATATGGAAGCATCCCAAGTGCCCGTCAATATACAAGTAGGTAAATAGTGGTGGTATATGCACACAATGAAATACTATTTGGCCATAAAAAAGAATGAAATCTTTTGTGACAGCATGGATGGACACAAACAAAATGCCATATGATTTTACTTATATGTGGAATCTTAAAAACAAAATAAATAAATAGAATAGAAACAGACTCATAGATACAGAGAACAGACTGACAATTGGCAGAGGGGAAGGGATTAAGAAGTACAAATTGGTAGTTACAGAATAGTCACAGAGATGTAAAGTACAGCATAGGCAATATAGTCAATAATATTGTAATAACTATATATAAAACCAGGTGGGGTACTTAAAATATAGGGGGGTCTACTCTGTAAAGTACATGATTATCTAACCACTATACTATACATCTGGAATTAATACAGAGTAATATTGAATGTAAACTGTAATCTATACTAATAAATGGGCAATATGCTAATTAGACTGGGTCTACCAGACATCTTCTGGGCATCTGACTTCCTTCTGGCCAAAGCCACAATGGTGGAAGCTGAGGCAGAGGCAGTTAGGGGCGGTCAAGCCAACAGGTGGGCAGTTAGGATGTGATAGGCTGGCAGGGGACAAGTTAGGGGGTGATCAGGCTAGTAAGCAAAGGCAGTTAGGGGCGCTCAGGCAGCCAGGTAGAGTGGTTAGGGGCAATCAGGAAGGCAGGCAGATGAGCGGTTAGGAGCCAGCAGTCCCAGATTACGAGAGGAATGTCTGACTGGCGGTTTAGGTCCCATCCTTCAAGGATCGGGCCTAAACCAGCAGTCGGACATCCCCTGAAGGATCCTGGATTGAAGAGGGTGCAGGCCAGCCTAAGGGACACCGCCCCCATGCATGAATTTTGTGCACTGGTCCTCTAGTTAAAAAATAAATTTAAATTTTTTTTAAAAGTTATGCAGTAGTCTGGCTTTGTTCATAAACAAGGTAAATCAATCTCTCTTTGTTAATTAATTTAGTTGAAAGTCACCTATAACTGGCAACATCAATGAGATATTTAAAACCAAAATAAGCACTGTAATGTACTTAGAATTAGTACCCAGTGTGTATATGTGAATTTAAAACTATTTATTATTGATAATAGTTGATTGATAATGCCATCATTCTAGTTCCACAATCCATATATTGAATTAGTATTTCTGTTGATATAGTGAACTGATTTGATTAAAGAAGTAAAGAAAATTAAACTTAGGCTCATTTAAATTTCTCCCCATGGAGCTGTTAACTTTGAATCACCTATCATTATAACTCCCTTAATACAGTTCATATAACAAAATTCTTTAATAATTTAACATAATTTAAAGTTTAGATATGTATATATGTTTTTATGCACCACCATGTACTATATAGATAGCTTTCATAAATCCTCAGATTCATAGAAGTGATAAATCCCATGGAGTTAACCTATTTTATGTAAATGTATTTATAAAGAAACACATATGCTTACTCACTGTTTTATTTAAAGCTAGTAGCCCTGCACACGAATCCGTGTGCCAGTAGGTCGCTGCCGCCCTCCTGTAGCTCCCCCGCCCCCCATAGCTTGCTGCCCCCGTTCTATAGCTCTCTGCTGCCCACTTGTAGTTTGCTGCCCCATCCTCCTGCAGGTCCTGTGATCCAGCCTTTATGCTGTTAGGGCATAACTGATAATTTGCATATTCCTCTCATTATATAGAATGAGTATATTTCTTTTATCTAAAATACGTATGATTGCCCATGATGACCAGTTTTGAGCTTGGCACAGGATACCAGGGGGGTGGGGGACAAAACAGACAGGGTCCCTTTGTATGTCCGGTGTAGCCCCAAATTCAGTCATTCTTATATTTTCATATATCCTTTATGGTTTATTGCACTGCTCACATATATATGTGTAAAAAACTGATTTGTTTTTATTTGTTATTAAATTAACATTTATTCAAAAGTTCAAATAAAATAATTAGTCACTATGACAAAATTAAAAATTAGCTTTAAGCATATGTAGGGTGAAATTTTTGTCCTCCAGTTTGGCTTTGAAGTTCCCTCCCCTTGTGGTATGAAATGAATTCCAAAGTCTTCTGTCCTCTTTCATGGGTGCAGGAACTTTCTGTACATCTTTCTGTTTTATATGAATGGAAAGGCTACATTTGACATTAAATTGTGAATTATATCTTGATGTTAGAGAGGATACATATTCCTGTCCCCCGCTACTTAAGTCATCTCAATCATCTAGTCCACTGACCTGAAAGAAAATGGTCTGGTATATCTGACCTCATTCAAGTGGGCTTTTCTCCATAAGGCCTTTGGCTCCACAGAGGTAAGGGTCTTTCCAGAAGTATGACAATTACAGGTAAGCAATAATGCTGCAATTCTACAGATGATTAAAGAAACATGCATACCATGCAGTAAGCATTTAGGATGTCAGCATTCTTCATTTTTAGCTTCACATTGAATGTGTTATCTTTTGACCATCTACCTTAATCACTTTTATATGTTACATTATAGGTGCTGCTATTTCAAGACCAGAGTTATGGTCTTCACTATGAATACACGATTCCCTCAGACCCTCCTCCGGATAACCAGAGCTCTAAAGCACCTGGACCGCTTTTCATGTGGACGCACACGGGCTGGGAAGATTGTGATGCCACGTGTGGAGGAGGTAAAGGATTTTCTAATATTTATAGTTCCCGAATAGTAGTTATTTTCCGATTGACAGTTGATAGTTAGGACAGATCTGCAACCTCTTATCTAAAATTCCAAACTCCATAAAGAATTGGAAAATGAAAGTTTTTTTGTAACCCATTTAGTAGCTAAACATGGAATATTTTTGTGGCAACATTTGATGTGAATTGAAAAAAAGTTCATTGAGAGTTATCACAGATCTCATTGCTTTGCTTTACATAAATATCAATGTATTTGCTTACAGGGGCTTACTTAATATATACTAAGGGCCCAGTACATGAATTTGTGCACCTTGAAAGGAACTCTGGGCTGCGAGGCTGTGGTGGGTACAGGGCAGGTCTTGGCCCATCCTCTTTGCCACCCCCTGGCAGTGGCCGTGAGGAGCAGGACACCAGGCTGCCTCTCAGTCAGAGGTACTGGAGAGAGAATGGCCCCTGGCAGGGACTCTGGGAAAAACAAGAAAGTGTCCTCAAGGGAGAGAAAGGCATGCTGGAACATCCGAGGTGCAGAGGCTGGAGGGAGCAGCTGCTGTCCGCACACTCTGAGCTCTGGTGCTCATCTGGCTCCAGGGACACCTGGCCCTCTGGAGCTGCCAGAGCAAAGGCGGTGTTTGCGATGGGAAAGGAGGAGACATTACAGAGCACACTTTGCTCCAAATACAGCAAAATGACACAAGGGGACTTGAAATTGTTCTCACAATTGAAAATTTTTTTCTAGTCCTGCTTTCCTGATACAGTTTGCAGGGCGTCATGATTGCTCTGAGACTTAGGACCTTCTGCCTTCAGATACCCCATGTTCACACACAGCCTGTTCCTCTGCTCCACTCACACCTCACTGATGCCAGGGCCTGTTTCACTTCAGGGATTCTTCCTCATATCCTCCACCTACATAAAACACACACACACACACACACACACACACACACACACACACACACACACTAGATTTGGAAACAGCCTAAGTGCCCATCAGCAGATGAGTGGATTAAAAACTGTGGTACATCTACACAATGGAATGCTACACTGCTGTAAAAAAGGAAGGAACGCCACCATTTGCAACAGCATGGATGAGCAGGGAGAGCATTATGCTAAGCAAAGTAAGCCAGTCAGAGAAAGATAAATATCACATGATCTCACTCATTTGTGGAATATAATGAACAACATAAACTGATGAACAAAAACAGATCCAGAGACAGAGAGGCATCGATCAGGTGCTCAAATCTCAGAGGGGACGTAGGGGAAGGTGTGGGTAAGGGAGAGAGATCAACCAAAGGACCTGTATGCATGCATATAAGCTTAACCAATGGAGGCAGACAACAGGGGGTGAGGACGAGTGCATGATTGGGGGGCTGGGGGAATAATGGGGGATAAGGACACATATGTAATACTTTAATCAATGAAAAAATAGAAACAAGCATACTTGAAATGAAAATCTACATGGTTAGAATTTTCTCTGCAGTGAAACTCAGGTGAGAATGACCAACTTGAGGCAGGCGGGGTGGTGGCAGAGAGGAGTGGCCCTGTGGAAAGGGGGATGGTTGCTGTTAGTGCTCTGACAGGTGTTCCTTAAAGTCTTTTACATTTGAAACTCTAGATAGGAACATGTTTTCCCGGTGAATTTTATTACCCTCGATTTCTCTTTCTTTTTATAATTGTGGTCTAATAAAAGCTGCATCAGAAGTAAACATTCAGGACTTGTCAGTCTTCAGTTTGAACAAGCAAAGAATTAGGGTTAAATTTTCCCCTCAAAATAACATTAATTGCAACCTAGACTGTGTTTTGCCAATTACCAAGCCTTAAGAAATAGAGGTTCCCTGTAAATCCCTCTTGCTTCAGAGTCAGAAGGACTTTTTGCTATTCTTAAGCATAACTTCTAAATTATGAACATGAAAAAATTGAAGCAGAGAGAGATTGACTTCCCAAGGCCACGCCCATTGAGGGAGGAGCCAGATTAGAATCCGGATTCCTGAGTTCAAGCCTCCTTTCCTCCTCATCATATACTTTCCTTAAGAGCAGCTTGGAAGCCGAATGTTGTTTCCACAGGGTATGTCCCTTAGAGATTATATGAAGATATTTCATTTTATTCTGTTAAAGTCAGACAGAAAAGGACAAGAACCATATGCTGAGTGGCCAGATTATTATGCGTTCAGAGATCATAATGTTCTGGCCATTCAGTGGAGATGATGTATTGCAGAACTGTACAATTGAAGTCTACATAATCTTATTAATCGGTGTCACCCCAATGAATTTAATTAAAATTAATTTAAATATTTTCTTATTTTTATTTTAAATGATTTGTTTTGTAAAATAGTTACTAATTATACACAGACTCTACCATTTGTGCTTGAGGAGACCTTCTCTTTCCAATCTGTTCCTTCGTGTTCAGTCAACAGTTTTCAATTATCTCTGACTATGTTAATAGGGCACATATTCGTTTCAATGCCAAAATATTTCTGGGCTTGTGGATGTTATTTTTCTTTGCAGTTCATAAATAAAGTGGATGGACAGGATTTCAGGAATCTCATCATTTCTGACTTCGCACTGTCAATTTTATAGCCAGAAAAAGCTTTGTAATCTTTCAGCATATTCATGAATTAAATGAGAATAAGTTCAAAGCACAGAACATTGGAAACAGATTCATGCAAAATTTATCTTCAACAGAAAAGAGGAAAAATAGCATTATTATACTTCACGGGAAAATACTAAGCAAGAGCAAATAAAGTATCGCAAGGCAGTATAAAATTTCATTGTTTCACATAAGTTATTTTTTAAATTCTATTGTAAGGCTTTAGATTGCCAGAAATAGGTGGGAAAATTAAAAAAAAAAAAAAAACCTAGTGTCATGTAGCTACATTTTTATGCTAACAATCTTTTGCATGAGTATCTTCAACTACATTTTAAAATAATCCAAATAAAGTTTTTATTATGCATTTCCATTAATTTGTTACTATCAGTTATAAGATATGAAAAGCCTAAGATATAAAAATCCCTTCTTTTAGAATCAATATTATTTTTAAAGTATTACTTTGGTTTGCATAAAAGATCTATTTTAAGTAATCTGGATCTTCCAAAGGCATTAGAGATGTACCATTCCATGATACCTGAGGTTGTAGGTGGAATGTGCATTTCGCACATGACATGGTGCAATTGTCTTATGTCAGGATTTATTGTGATCTGGTGCATAAATTAATTAAATAAAACCTGGCAGGAAGAGCCCCAAATTCAATATCCTATTTTTGAAATAAATGAAGAATCGAGCATGCTGTTAGGAAATCTAAATAGATACAATGTAAAGGGGGAAAACATAAGCCAACATTCCACGTTCTCCACATGGCTCCAAGTCCTAGTAGTTTACGACTCATGCTGTTAGCCTTGTGCTGTGGTATCTCAGTCACAGTTCCTTGTCCGTGACAGATTCTAAGGAGGCTTCCACGCCTTTGGGTCCATGTTGAGGAAACATCTTGAGATACAAATGCCTGTCCATTTTCAAGGGTGTTTTTCCACTTTAGAGGGACCTTGAATGTACCAAAATAAATATTATTAGCAAAAAAACAAAACAAAACAAAGCAAAACCCCCCCAAAAATATATTACTTTATTTTAATAAAATCAATACAATTTTGTATTCTATTTCCTTTACTTAAATAATAAGGACATTTTTATGTTAACATAAACTCCTTATAAACTTGAATTTTAATACCTAAGTGATAATCCATTAACTGATTTACTACAGATAACTGTTCCCCATCACTTGTCGTTTTGTTTGCAGATGATTTTTCACCATTTTAGTGTTAAGATGAATCTCTTCGTAAAGAAGGCACCAAATTTGGGCTTGAATTATGTGCTTCTATTTCACTCATTGATTTCTTTACCAATGCTGACTGTGCACTCACTCTTGCTAGGTAGTCAAAAAATGAGTGCTTTCTGCTGTCAGAGAACTCTGTCCCTCTGTTCTCTAGTAGATAACCACAAAATCACTCTGCAGAATGGCTAGCGGAGATGAGGAAGGCCTTCCAGGGATAGGCATAGGTGTAAAGGTCCTGGGACTCAGTGAGAGTATTTATTACGAGGGAGTAAAATGTGAGGTTCAAGCTACCAGAAATGATTTGATCAGAAAAGTAGAAAGAAACTAATTCATGAAGGCCCCTTCATGTTATGCTAGCACTCAAGTTGCATTTAACTTGAAAGTTATGAGATCCCACTTAAATATTTGTGTATGGAAATGACAAAATCAGTTTGGATTATATATTGGGTGTAGCCTACGATACAAAGTAACAACTTTTCACTAAAATATAAAACAAAATAGTCATTTTAATATTAAGCCCAAACCCTGAGAAAAAAATAATTATAGAAATGTAAATAATATAATAATAATAATAATAATAATAAAGGCCTAGAAGTAAATGCCATGATGTGGGGGAAAATTTTATGTTTCAAAAATAACCAGCATTTATGTATCTTTAAGATGTGCTCAGAGAAAAGTATTTCATCCTCATTTAAAGTATATTTACTTTAGTTTCACTTGTTTACTGCCCCTTGTTAATTAAATAACAAACAATTAATGAAAAGAAATGTGTGAGTACAAATGAGTATATACAGACTGTCTTACAGAGTTCTATATTTCTATTTAAAAGTTTGGAATGTCAGTGACATTTAGAGTTTCAGCCTATCGCAACCCTGAACCCGCTCCCCAGGACACGTTTCTGCATTTATGACGCAAGTTTTAGCAATGTGATCTACCTGGATAGAATATAGTTTATTTAAAAAGTCATTGTTTCGGGGGTTAAATACAGAGCATAGAAAAAAGAGTCAGCTATCTCTGAGACTGGAAAAGAGGGAACACAATGTAGTGTCTATCTGGAAAGTGTCAGTAAGGATCAAGGACCTTACGTTTTCGGATTTTGCCTGAATTTGTCAAAGAGACAAATGCATAATGCTTATTTTATTCATAATTGTATACAAAACATCAAAACAGATTTCCCCGATATGTATGTAATGGGAATGACCCGGGGGTGAAGTAAATTGCCATAAAGCAAGTAATACACTGTCAACAGCCTGCAGCTACTCGTGGTTCAGGCAGAAGGCCAGTTACTTCCCTTTCTGTTCATCCCTGGGTCCTGCAGAGCTGGATGCATTATAAATACTGCTGTTACATGCGAGAATGGAAATTTCCTGTGTTGGCTGGGACATAAAAATATGTAAAAGAAAAAAAATCAAACAATAACATTTCCATATGGCTTTATGATCTTAGTTGTATTTTCATAGGCATAAAGTGTCTGCAGCTCAGCAATGGATTTTTTCCCCCTGATTCTGTTGTTTTTGTTCAATAACATTTTTTTTTTAAATTAGGACTAGGTTCTTTTATCTGCCAAAAAACTTACGATGTGAGCTTCCTTGCTGTGTTGTGGAAATATCCCAATTCATATTCACAGGCTTTCAAGCATTCTTAGAACACCTCTGAGGCGCTCCCTGAAGTGGTGCTGATAGTTTTATCCTTTTTGATATATCAATACTTGTACTTAAAAGATTTTTTTTCAATATGTTAGCTATGGACTGACATAACTAAGGATAGATATTCACCAAGGAAAGGAAGAAAATGCAGTATAATTATCCCTGAGTTATTTATTCCATGACTACACATATGTTTACAAAAGCCTTCTGGATAATGTCTGTGTGTCATCTTCTTGTGTTGTCATTGGCAAAAAGCCATGATTTAAATTAGTTTAGGTAACTTCATCTATTGTGTAGAAGAGTGTCTTATGACTGTGAAGGCTTTAAAGTAGATTTTAAAATTAACATTCATATTTCATTAATGTAACATTTTTAATCCCACTTTTAGATTGGCAGCATTGCAATGCAGAAATAATACATAGGTAGCAAGAGAGAGAGTTGGTATATCTATTTAATGTACACACCAGGTCATAAAGGAGCACCTGAACCAAAAATATGTCCACAATCTTACATTTAGATATCTCCTACTGGTGGGGCCAGTTTTTTCTGGGGGGGAAAAAAAAAAGTAAAATAAATCATTTCTGCTTCTTGAGTAGTTTGTTTGAAAGTTATGTGACATTGATGGGTATTGCACATGACTATGATTAAGTTTAATATTATGCTACTTATGTTAGAAGATGCAACTGAAGGTGTAAATGGTTTTGGTTATATGATATGCAATAAGCACAGATACATTATTAGTTAATACACATGTGTATACAGATATAGTCAGGCTTTTACACTAGAAGTTATCATGGGACTGCACTCGATATTTGGAGGGAAATTCAGGGAGATCCTGAATTTGTCCTTTTGCCTTCCCCTTGGCCACTCCAATGTCTCTCCCATCCCGCATTTAAGTAAAAGGAAAAGACACTCAAAAATTATTCAAGTATCTCACTCTTTCTCTCTCTCTCTACATTCCTTCTTTGTTTTTCCCTTAATGCCAGTCTTCTCCCTGTTAATGAATGACAGAGTGACCTTTCAGCCACCTATTTGTCATGACCCACACAAACACTTCAAGCTTCCTAATAATCTTTGTAAGACCATCATAGGACCCTGGCTATTGGGCCTTTGAATAGTGACTCAGAAAACTCATGATTTTTTTTTTTCTTAATCCTTAAGGGTCCCCCTAGTTTTAAAGTTGTTGACTGATTTCATCTATATATATAAAAGGCTAATATGTAAAGTGTCCCCTCAGGAGTTTGACTGGGAGACTGAGTTCAATCATTTGCTATGTCATGTGCTGACCACTAGGGGCGATTCAGAATGAAGGAAGGCCCTGGCCGACAGCCAGAAGACCCTGATTGGTCCCAATTGCTAGCCAGGCCTAGGGACTCTACCTATGCACAAATTTCATGCATCGGGCCTCTAGTTTGTTTATAATGTCAAACAGTAAGTTAAATTAGATTATTCAGTCTTACCTAGATATTTGACTTTTGTAGAGAAAGAATTAGCACATATGTATTAGGCTTTTGATGTGTAAGGTGAAATAAAAGTGTTGTCGGGTATGTGTGCTTATGGGGCTCTCTGAGATATTAATATAGCATACAGATGGTCACTTTTACTTCCTGTTATCAGGCTTTATCATACCAGAGAGAGTAGAAAAGCCAGTTTTCTGAAATCTGGTGAACAATGGTAGGGTCCCATGGCTATTCTTAGAGAACATGGCAGTCATTAGGGAATGAGGATTTCTAGAATTCTTGGGGCCTTTATCAGAGGCCATAAGAATAAAAGTCTGAGTCATACTCTAAGCTTGTTTGCCATAATTTAACACAGAGCACTGATGATGTACAACCAAGCATGCATGCATGTTTATGGGAGTTTATGAGCTTTCATGAAGGAACTTAGGTATTATGTAAACATATCTTCTACCACTTAATGCTAAAGATGGCATAGCCCTTTATAACAGGTCTTTATCTAGTCAACCTATGGTGCCACAATCCCTTTGTAATATAAAAGTTGGCCATTTCATTTCTAACAAGGAGAAAATTATCATCTTTCTTAAACCTAGAGATACATTTTTATGTAAATAATATCATTTCCATTGATCTAGCCTAAAATGTATTTAAAATATCTCTGAAAATTACAAGAAGCCTGTGAACACCTCCTAAATCCATTAGGTGAAGGTCTATAATAACATTCTTTTTATGTTTCTTTCAGGAGAAAGAAAGACAACAGTGTCTTGCACAAAAATCATGAACAAAAATATCAGCATTGTGGACAGCAAGAAATGCAAATATTTAACCAAGCCAGAGCCACAGATTCGCAAGTGCAATGAGCAGCCATGCCAAACGAGGTAACCCTGTTCCCCACACTCCAAGTACCACCAGAGCCACATTCTCCTTACAAACAATGCAAGGGATCTAAACAAAACTGTAAGCTTTTAAATAAGCCAGGTCTAAAAGAGACAGAATCAACTTGATGGAATGTATATGGGAGTGGCTGCAGAAGGAAGCCATGCCTTAATAACTACTGAATGGGTGGAACCTGAGTATAACTTTGGAGCAGGCTCGCAACAAGGCTGTCTGCAATGGCCTCCCTCACAGGGCTCCTGAAAATCCATGTGCTTTCATGTGAACGATGCTGGGCTTGAGTGGGACTAAACCCCCGTGTCAAATGTCCTAAAACCTTGAATGGATGGAATGACAAAAAGAGTGTGAGCCTGGGTGGATTCCTCTAGCACAGTGTTTCCCAAGCTTTTGACATATGTGTACCCCTTCTATAATTTTCGTAACGCTGAGTACCCCTCGTACTCTTGAGAACGTAGAATTAGGTGCAGCTAAGCACGGTGCAATGCATATCCCCACCAAACTCCGGTGCAACGTGTACCCCCACCAAACTCTTCCCGTACCCCTGGGGTACGCGTACCACACTTTGGGAAACACTGCCTAGCATATGGGGTCAGGAGATCTGTGAAGGATTCCATAGTTTTGGAGAGAGGGTCATGGATTTTAATGTGTATCTTTGTACAGAAAGATGAAGCAGAACCTGAATGAAATTGGATAATGAGTACACCCTGTAGGAAAAAAACCATTGGGAGCTTCCAAAGCAAGATGGTGGTAGGTCCATCTCATACTTAGTAGGCCAGCTCACAAGAACCTTGCTAGAGGTGATACTGGAGTGCAGATGTTATCATGAAGTGTTTTTTTTGTTTTGTTTTGTTTTGTTTTATTGTTATTTATTCTTCCCAGAAACAGAGGCATAGAATCATTAAGAAGTAAAGCATTGTACAGATAAGAAAACTAGGCTGTAAGAGGATATACCATCTCTTAGTCTCATTGTTAAGAACGTATGGGCTTAAGTAAATTTGGAATAATTGAGGCTATTTCTATAAAATGGAGAGAAACATACTGTAAATTCCATTTCGAGAAATGTTTAAGGCAAAGCTCTTGTATGCAAACTGTTACCGATGCAAAGAAGAATAAAGCCCTGGTCCCTGCCTTTGGGAGATTATGTACTCAAATCAAGTACATAATCTTGTACTTGATTATGAAAAAGAAGGTCACATTCTCCAGGTAGCCTGTGAGCCTCCGCTTCCCTAGAGAATAACGTGCACTTGTCTTGTGAGTGCCAAATGCAAAGGGGAACACAATCCCTGTGCGTTGAGTGGCAGGAGCCCTGCTGGGAGGAAGGGACTTGGAGCTGCTGTCAAGGATCCCAGCAGGAGATGATCCAGAAACAAGAGCCGTGAAGTGACAACAGAAAGTGTTTGGGGAACCAGCTGAGCATATGGTTTGCTTTCTAAACAAGTGGGCAAGGAAGCTAGAGAAGTTTATGAATAAGTATGTATTTTAGAAATTACTGTAATATAGGTAGTATATACTACATACTGAGTACCCACTGTATGTCAGCCTTAATAAGCACTTTTACTAATGAGAAATACTTAACAGATATTAACTGTTGTTTTAGGAATATGCACAGCCGAAACCGGTTTGGCCTAGTAGATAGAGCATCGGCCTGTGGACTAAAAGGTCCCAGGTTTGATTCCAGTCAAGGGCATGTACCTTGATTGCGGGCACATCCCCAGTCGGGGGTGTGCAAGAGGCAGCTGATCGATGATTCTCTCTCTTCCTCTCTGTAAAAAAATCAATAAAATATATTTTAAAAAAATAATATGCACAGCTCGTACCGAACCAGAATGAAGCCCAAGCTTCTGACTACCTTGACCTGTGCTTACATGCGATTGTGCAGATAGTTGAGTGGAGGGACTCAGATCCCACTGTGAGGTTGTCTCAATAAGGGGAAATGCAGAGAGGATTTTATTGACAGGAATTGTGCAAATACCAAATTTTGGGAGAGACTTTTCTGGCAGAGACCTTGGTTCATTCCTGGAATAAATTTGGAGCAGTGTTCAAATTAGGAGTTCTCAGGGGAGAGCCCAGTTCATTAGAAATGATAGCTGTCTTTTAACTCGTTTCAGTGACTGTTACTTTACTTTATTTATTTTTCATCTTTATTGTTGAAAGTATTACGTATGTCTCCCTTTTCCCCCCATGGACCTCTTCTCACCCACCTCCATGCTCACCCCAGGCCTTCACCACCCCATTGTCCGTGTCCATGGGATATGCATATATGCACACAAGTTCTTTGGTTGATCTCTTCCCTCCTACCCTTCTGGCCCCCTTCACTCTGAGATTCCACAATCAGTTCCTTGCTTCTATGTCTCTGGATCTACTTTGTTCATTAGACTCCACATATGAGTGAGATCGTGTGATACTTGTCTCTCTCTGACTGGCTCACTTTGTTTTCTGACTTTCCTTTTAGATGGATGATGACAGAATGGACCCCGTGTTCACGAACTTGTGGAAAAGGGATGCAGAGCAGACAAGTGGCGTGTACCCAACAACTGAGCAACGGAACCCTGATCCGGGCCCGGGAGCGGGACTGCGCTGGGCCCAAGCCGGCCTCCGCCCAGCGCTGCGAGGGCCAGGACTGCATGACCGTGTGGGAGGCGGGCGTGTGGTCAGAGGTGCGGCTCACGCCCCGTTTCTTTCCCTTTCCCCTTTCTTTTTGACTCTTAGATTCTTTAAGGTCATGTGGTATCATGTTTAGAATCTGTGCATGGCAGTGAGTATTTTTCAATACCATCTGCTGATTCTGCTGGTGATAAAAAAGTATGCTCGTTATAAATAAGTTTGAAAATGTGAGAAACAAAGATTTTTTTTACTCTTTATTTTGTAAATAATGTAACACGATGAAGAGGATAGTTTACGTACATTTTATGCTTTTTCATTTATATATCATGAAATACTTTTAAGTGGACACATAATAAAATACACATTTCACTCATCATCTATCCCTGAACATTTAAACAAGAAAGGAAAAGAAAGGGATTAACACTTATCAATCATTTTCTGTGAGCAAGGACTATGTTTTTAATTCATATTTAATAGGTTATTTATATTTAATCAGGAATTCAAGAAAGGTAACAATTTTATCCTTTTATAACATAGCTGAAAGAAATTAAATCATTTACTTTAAAATTCAAGATAGTCTAACACAAGCCATAAATGATGAGATATTTAAGTATTTCTGAAAAAATGTAGTACATGTAAAATATCATTAGCTCCATGCGTAAGTTTTCAGGAACATAACTATTGCAATCTGCATGGCTGTTCCTATACTGTGTTGTTGCTACATGTTCGCCTGCACCTCTTTCTTTGGTTGAGACCAGTGGTTCTCAGGTTGTCAACCTCTCTAATGCTGTGCCCCTTGAATACCGTTCCTCATGTTGTGGTGACCCTCAACCATAAAATTATTTTCGTTGCTACCTCATAACTGTAATTTTGCTTCTGTAATGAATCGTAATGTAAATGTCTATGTTTTCCAATGGTCTTAGGTGACCCTGCCAGCGGTTCTCAACCTGTGGGTCGTCGCGGCATTAGAAAGGCTGAGAACCGCTGCTTTTAGGCCTTTTACAGAAACAGATATAACTTGGGTTTTCATAGTTTGCCGTAGCTCTCATTTTGCTCACACTCCCCTGTCCCACCTAATTTCGTTTTGGTCTCTGTGTCCTGTGTCCAGACAGTCGGTGATACGTACCTTGGGGAAGCTTTCCATAACAGAAAGCATCCATGTAAATGGGCGGGCAAGTTGCACCTAAAAGGATGATGGAATATACATGTGTGCTTCATATCTGCTAGGACACCAATGTCAATCAAGCATCAGTTATTTATAATGTAAATCAAACTATTTGTGAACACTCATATTTTAATCCATACAACTATTTAGAATGATGTTTTCTAGGGCTATATAATTATGTAAAGAAATTCTTTTTTTTTTTTTTTTTTTTTTTTGCTAAGGTTTTCTTTGTTTTAGCTTTAAGAAAAATTTGTGAAAAATGTCATTCTGTAAGGAATTTGGACACAGTCAATAGTGTGGTGATGGTGAGGGGGTAGGGAGGTAGGTGGAGGTGGAAGAGGATATAAGGAGGGTAAATAGTGATAGAAGAAAATAAAATACATTTGAAAAAAATTCTCTTTTTTTTACATTTCTTAAGGCTAAAACAGATAAAATCTTAACAAAAATAAAACAATTTTATTACATAATTCTATATAAAAACTTGCTGTCCATCAAATGTAGCATTTACGTTTTGATCACTGTATTCTATTTGTCTTTCATAAATAATCCCTATGTCCTCTGCAATCATCGGCGTGTGCTCCTGAAACCCTTTCACCCCAGCACTGTGCCTGAGCTGCCTCGGGCCTCTAATACTGGTGATCTGCTTATTCTTTATGTGGGTTATGGGTTTATGGAAATGAGTAGAATCCACACTTTACATATTTTCACTCTTTGTCTCCCTTCTAAACACTGGCTTTATGCAAACTCTCTGATGTCTTCCAGTGCTCTGTCAAGTGTGGCAAAGGTGTCCGTCAGCGGACCGTGAGGTGTACTAACCCCAGAAAGAAGTGTGTCCTTTCCACCAGACCCAGGGAGGCCGAGGACTGTGAGGACTACTCAAAATGCTACCTCTGGCGGATGGGTGACTGGTCTAAGGTGAGAATCGTGCTGTACATTCTCGGTATTGGGTTTCAATAATGTCTTCATTGCCCTGGATACTACATCCATATAGTATGGACTGTAGGAGGGATGGAGGGTAGAGGGGAAGATTATAGGATATGGAGTATTATATCCCCAGGTTCCAGGTTCAAAGCCTGTCTCTGTCCATAATCATGATATCTATAAAACTTTTAAAGATTAAGACAAAATGTATAAAGCAATTAACATGATTTTTTTACACAAAGAAAGCTTTCAAAATGCAAATTATTATTGTTTTGTTGCTAGTTTTTGTGATATTGTTCTTTGTCAGAATATTTTTTGCATAAAACTTCCCTAAGAAATAGAATACTATCAGGTGAGTCAATTCAAAATATAATTAAGGAAAGTAGTGGCAAAATCAAACAAAGAAATGTCCATCATAATAGGTAAAACACAGTATTTTTCCCACCAATATTTGGGGTTGTAGATAGAAGAAAAGAGAAGGAACGGAATTCTTCTTTTTTTTTTTTAATCTTTATTGTTCAGATTAATACATATGTTCCTCTTTTCCCCTCCTCCCATAGCTCCCCTTCACCGGGTTCCCACCCTACCCCATGCCCTTGCCCCCTCACCGTCCTCTTCCTTAGGTGTAAGATTTTTATCTAATCTCTTCCCACACCCTCCACAACCCCTTTCCCCTAATAATTGTCAGTCCACTCCTTTTCCATGCCCCTGATTCTATTACATTCACCAGTTTTTTCTGTTCATCAGATTTTTTTATTCATTTGAATTTTAGATTCACTTGTTGATAAATACGTATTTGTTTCCATAATTTTTATCTTTACTTTTTTATTCTTTTTCCTCTTCTTAAAAACTTCCCTTCAGCATTTCACATAACACTAGTTTGGTAATTAACTCCTTTAGCTTTGTCTTATCTGTGAAGCTTTTTATCTGATCTTCAATTCTAAATGATAGCTTTGCTGGGTAGAGTAATCTTGGTTGTAGGTTCTTGCTATTCATCACTGTGAATATTTCTTGCCACTCCCTTCTGGTGCATAGTTTCTGTTGAGAAATTAGCTGACAGTCTTATGGGTGCTCCCTTACAGGTAACTAACTGCTTTTCTCTTGCTGCTTTTAATATTCTCTCTTTGTCTTTTGCCCTTGGAATTTTAAATATGATGTGTCTTGGTGTGGTCCTCTTTAATTCCTCTTGTTTGGGGTTCTCTGCGCTTCCTGGACTTGTAAGTCTATTTCTTTCACCAGGTAGGGGAAGTTTTCTGTCATTATTTCTTCAAATAGGTTTTCAATATCTTGCTCTCTCTCTACTTCTGGCACCCCCATAATTCGGATGTTGGTACTCTTTAAGTTGTCCCAGAGGCTCTTTACACTATCTTCATATTTTTGGATTTTTTTTTTTCTTTTTGCTCTTCCAGTTGGGGGTTTTTTGCTTCCTTGTATTTCAAATGTTTGACTTGATTCTTGGATCCTTTAGTCCACTGTTGAATCTCTATATATTATTCTTTATTTCAGTCAATGTATGCTTAATTTCTGACTGGTCCTTTTCCATTTTTTTTTTTACCTTCTCACTAAGATCCTTGAAGGTCTCACTAAGTTCCTCGGAGGTTTCTAGAAGATTCTTGAGTAACCTTATAACTGTGGATTTGAACTCTATATCCAGTATTTTGCTTTTTTCCATTTCTTTAATTTGTGACTTGTTTCTTTGTCTTCACATTTTGGCTGCTTCCCTGTGTTGATAGAGTGGCCTTGTGTGCTAGGTGTCCTATAGGGCCCAGTGGCTCAGCCTCCCCAATCACCTAAGGTGCACACTCTTGGTGCACCCCTTTTGTGGGCTGTGTGCACAGTCTTATTGTAGTTAAGCCTTGATTGTTGTTGGTATCACTGGGAGGAATTGACCTCCAGGCCAATTGGCCGTGAATATCAGCTGTATCTATAGTGGAAGAGCTGCTGTATAGGAGACACCCTTATTGGGCAGGACTTGCTTCAGTTGGGCTTTGGTGCTCACTGAGTCTGCCCCTTGAGTGTGTCGCTTATGGATGTGAGGAGTTGTAATCTGGTATAGTCTCACACTGACCACTGGGTACACTGGCTCTGAGATCTCCAAGGAGTTTGCAAAGTCAGCCACTGCCTGGGGCTACCCAGCAGGAGCTACAGAGAGATTTGCAGATTCCTCCTTTTTGTTTGGGTTTGGAAGTACCCAGATGAGGCCTATCTGTGAAGCAAGGCAGGCTGCAGCTGCTGGGCCTTTGGCCTTTTTTGGTAGCTTTGGGGCTCTCTGACCCAGTTGCTGCCTGTTTGACAGGTTTTTGGCTGAGAAAAGACATGCCATTCATATGCAAAAGCTGCTGTGCACAGCTTGGGTGGGGCAGGGTCTCAGGGAATCACCAGAGTGGGGCAAACAGCAATGGCTGCCAGTCAACCCAGCAAGGGGCAAGTACCTATGCCACCATCTTGAGGAATGGAATTCTTGAAGCCTTTTGGTCAAAGCAAGTGGATACAGTTCATTTAGTAGTTGAACAGTAAATTTAATATCAAGATAATTATGCTTATTTAAAATTTATGAATAGAGTCTCATATAAATGAGCTATAAACACAGGTCACATATTCACTCTGCAAAGTGAATTGATAAATAAATATATAAATCCCATGGTTTAAGATAAAATTCTGATCACACCTAGGGAAAATAGCTCTCAAATACTAGTTTCAGAAATGTAAATATTAATCAAATGATCCCCTATGCCTTGCTGCATTTAGCTGTAATTTAATATACTTATTGTTATGGGATCATATAATTCTAGGGCTTAGAAGAGACTTAAATCTTCTTTTCCTCTTTTATTTGTTGTATAAATAAGAAGTTGTGGCTGCTGGGAATGGTGGGGAGTGTGAGAGCTCTTCATAAGTAACACCAAGGGAAACTCTGAAATAAAATTTTTAATTGAATTATGCACTGTGGTTAGCCAGCTTGCCCAATATTGAAATCCATGACATTGCCTTTCCTCACTAACAAAAGTTTGCAATATTAACATAGCATCTGAGTTCTCAGTAAACTGTACTCTCCACTACTTACAACATTCAGAGTTCACATTGGGACTCCTACTGGAGGCATTTGTAAACAATGTAAATCAATCCCTGGATTTATTAGGAAATATTCAGCCCAACCCATGAATCTTTTAACTGGTGAACCATACTGTATAAGGAAACACTGTATTTCAGAGTAAACAACTTTTAGATGAAACAAAATTCCAAATTTACCACAAATGTATATTTTTTAATGTTAAGGTTTATGCTTCCCCAATTCTTAGAGAGAAAAATACAGTAGGATGATAGGGAAAGACAATGATTTGGAAGTCAAGAGACATGGGGACAGTTTGGATTCCATCACTGTGCAGATGGCCAAAGGGATAAGCCAATGAATGAATGTCTTTGTGTATTTGTTTCCATAGGAGTGAAATAAGGAAAATAGACATCACTATTGTGTTTCTATATAAACTCTTAATTCAGCTCTGAAGGTATGAAACAGGATGCGAAAATAAAGTACTAGTTGGAGGGGTGGAGAAGATCACCTATTGCTCACTTTCTATTATAAGAACTCCCCGTTCGTTTATTTTGGCTAGTGAAATTCTAGAGATTTTCCTTAAGTGATTCTACTAGTAAACTAAGGAAAAATTTAAAATCCACTAGAATATACGTATGAGTGACCTTTTCTCAACTTTATTAGTAGAACTATTTTTAAGTGATAAATGTTAAGTCTATTAACTACAAAAGACAGATTTGTAATTGAAAATAAACAAACAAACAACAACAACAAAAACACAACACACCAGAAGATCCAGGTTTTATTATAAATTATGACACAGAACCAACTAAGCTCCTCCATTGCAGCATATAGAAATAGGGCTAGCAAATCCTATTTTCATGACTAATACTATTGATTAAAATGTGCCTATTATGTGGACTCTGGTTAAATCTTAAGCAAAAAAAATAATAATAATTGGGGAGATTATAGAAGACATTAATTTTGGTTTTTCATGCTAAGTCTGAAAAAAAAATATTTAAATATTTTACCACAGTTACATGTGTATTTTAAATGTACCTGGGTTAAATTACTGTAAATTGATTTTGTTGAATTACCAAATTGCTACCCAGCTTATAGTACATGGCCACTGTGAGTAACAAATCAATAGCCACAATATATATTACTGTTCTGTGACTTCTTACCTTTGTTTGTTGGACTGCTTGCTTCTTTGTTTGCTTATTTAGAAGATCCAGGATGTTGCATTCTTCTTCTTTTTCTATGAATATAAATCTGCTCTTTACCCCAAAGCCATTTTCTCCTTTTCATTTATATCTGAGGCCTCAGCATAACAGATTCAAACGGCAGTTTAGAACTTAAAGCCAGTGATTACATGTGAACTTTATTGATTTTTCTCCTCCTTTTTTTCATGCCTAAGATACCACTATCGTGTTAAAATGAAGACCATCCCAAAATAATTACAGAGAAAATGAATAATGCTGTGATATTTCAATTTCAGTGGTTAAAATATTAATGGGCAGAGGAGATATAAATGTCTTATTCTTTTTATATATATATATTTTATTGATTTTTTACAGAGAGGAAGGGAGAGAGATAGAGAGCCAGAAACATTGATGAGAGAGAAACATCGGCCAGCTGCCTCTTGCACACCCCCTACCGGGGATGTGCCTGCAACCAATGTACATGCCCTTGACCGGAATCGAACCTGGGACCTTTCAGTCCGCAGACCGACGCTCTACCACTGAGCCAAACCGGTTTTGGCAAATTTCTTATTCTTATTAGCTGTGACCCTGGGATAAGAATAACAATGAGATGTGTCCAGTGGGAGTGGATTTCTGTGGTCTTCTGAGGTCAGTTAGTCTGTTACTGTCATTCAAATCCTGCTAACATTGTTAAACTACTGATAAACCTAAGTGGACTTAAAATTCACCCTTGCTTTCTTTAGTCTGGAGTATTCGACAGACTG